CCAGAAACTTCAGTTCTGCTTGCATCGTTTGCAGTACAAGCTAAATATGGTGATTACAATCCAGAAACGCACAAGCCCGGCTGTCTTACTTCCGACCGGTTACTGCCTCAAAGGGTTATTGGGCAGTTTAAATTGAGGTTTTCTTTTTTGACGTCTTTGTCATATCAATGAACTTTTTGCATCTACAGTGTCTTTTTTTTTGCATCTACAGTGATTTTTATTTTTTTTTTTCAACTTTTTGCATCTACAGTGATTTTTATTTTTTAATATTGTGGGAACTTCACTCCTTGCCTTATTTCAAACTTTTGAAACTTTACTTAAAGTATTAGCAAATAATCCACATTTGATGTTCTTTTGCACATTTATAAAAATTAGAATTTTTTTGAGGTCTGTTCCAGAATTCGTCTTGGTTTGAAAGTCTTAATTGTTTATCTCTACTGGAAAGTTATTATTATTTGTGGCAAATTTATGTTGGTTGTATCAAATTTTGAATGATTAAAAAGGGGAGGAATTTATTTGATGTAAATTGAAATCATTGTCTTTTCAGTCTCGAAGAATGGGAGAAATGTATAATGGTTTGGTGGGCAGATCATAAGAATACGAATAGAGAGCAGGCAATGATGGAATATTTAAAAATAGCACAAGATCTCGAGATGTATGGCGTCAATGTTAGTTTCACTTTGTGTGAAGTTCGCTTTATTCTCTAACATTTTTATCTCAATTGAGACAACATTTTCGAAAGATTAAGGTATCAGATTATTTTCTATAACATAGAAATTAAATAATTTTCTGCACACCGTTAAGAAATTATGCGTTTACGGAACTTTCGTTATTGTCAGTACATCTAGCATATTCTTTATGCTATTTTCTACAGAATTGGATACATAGCAATGTACTCCACAATGTATTGATTTATGTAATGTAATTTAATGTTAAATGAGACAGCCATTTTGTAATACACTGTAGCATATATTTACTACACTAAAAAGCTTTTTTTTTTATCCCAAGCTATACACAATTAGCGGAATAAAAAGATCTGAAAGGGTCTATATAAATCAAGTGAAAAAAGCTCTTAATGGATCATACAAATTCATCTTTACTTGCATTGCTTTATGTTTTCCTTGAAGTTATTGCAAAAATCCTTCGGAGTATTTCCAGCTTTTTAGATTTATTCAGTACCTAAAATCATGTGCATATATATAAATGCTTTATTTTAGTGTGTGCGAAACAATAGATGCAAATTACACAGCTATACATTTTTCTATTGTATTCCTAAACTTTTATTTACAGCATTTTGAACTTGCAGTATTTCGAAATTCGTAATAAGAAAGGAACAGAGTTGTTTTTGGGTGTTGATGCCCTGGGACTTAACATATACGAAAAGAATGATCGACTTACACCCAAAGTTGGCTTTCCGTGGTCTGAAATACGAAATATTTCATTTAATGACAAGAAATTTGTTATTAAACCGATCGATAAAAAGGCAAACGTAGGTCATTTTCAATTACTCACAATTGTTATATTTTCATTCTCTCAGTAATTTTTCACTTTCGAAACTTCATCCTATTAAGTTATTGAGTGGAATATGAAAGAGATATTTTATAAATGGGTATAGTGAGGTTCTGATCGTATATGAACTAGATTTCTTTGATGTAATATATCATTATATTACATCAAATATAAGCAGTTTATGCTTCACATGAAAATTGTTCAAGTCTATTAGCATTGAATATGTCTTTCAGGATTTTGTGTTCTATGCTCCACGTCTACGAATAAATAAGCGCATATTGGCGCTATGTATGGGCAACCATGAGCTGTATATGCGCAGAAGGAAGCCGGATACAATTGAGGTGCAACAAATGAAACAACAAGCCAAAGAAGAGAGGATGCAAAGACAGCTTGAACAAGAACGTCTTACAAAAGTTAGTTGTTACTGTTTAAGATATAGAAGTATAGAAGCTAATGTGAGAGTGAATAAGCGCTGTATTGTTTACCTTTTTCTCATCAAATTTAGCTTTGTGAGTTAATTTACTTAATTTTATAGGTGTTATGATCACTGTGATGATTTTTTTTGAATAATATATGTCGTATACATGAAATGTTCGTGGTTAATGTTAGTTATGCTTTAATAGTGACATTTTTTTAGTAATTATTTTTAACAAATTGTAACGCTTATTAAATGTGGAAGTTGAAACTGTACAGTTCTAATACTGTCGAAGAATATGATTTATAAAAGATTAGCATGGGTATAAATGTCACTTTGTCACTTTGCTGCGCTGATTAACGATTAATCTGAAAAACTTTAGGAAATGACGGCACGGGAAGCTGCTGAGCAAAAACAGAAAGAATATGAAGAAAGAATGGAAAAAATGAGGGAAGAAATGGAAAGGGCCCAGCGAGAGCTGTTGCACGCACAGGATACTATTCGACGTCTTGAGCAACAACTTGCGGAACTTCAGGTTAATTTTGCAGCACTGTGTGTGTGAAAACTTCAGTTTTTATTGGTTATTTAGAAAGGGTTGCGATTGTTTTAATTAAGGATTTATTTAAAGTTGGTATGCAAGGAGAGGTTATATTAAAGAATAAAAAACGGAATTAGCAGTTACAATTTGCAGATCGCTAAAGAACAGTTGGAAGCAAAGGAAGATGAATTACGGAGGTTAAATGAACAATTACGTTCAGAACGCGAAATGAGCTCTGAAGAACGTGAACGCCTGGAGCAGGAAGTGCGTAGACGTGAAAAACAAGTAGCTGAAATGCGCGAACAAGTTAATTTGAAGACTCAGGAGACAGAGCGTTTGCAAAGAGAAGTCGAAGAAGCACGGGCTGTTCAGGAACGGGAAAATAGTCGTCAGCTGAATGCATTTAACGTTAAGGAAGTAGATCTGGATGAAAATGCTAGTGAAAATGGACAAGTTGCCACAGGTGCATTGGAATTTATGTCAATAAATGAGTAGTTACTTACTACTTACCTAATTGCAATTGTATCGTGCTACCCTTGCTCAAATTGATGTTATTTTATAATTCAGTTTTATAAATTCTCAATTAAAAAAAAATATATATATATATTATTCAGTTGCAGAGTTAACTGCTCGTGGTGACGAGAACGTTCCACAAAGAGAACTTGAACGAATAACAGCTGCTGAACAAAATCTTTCATTAAAGCACAAACTTGATGTAATTTTTTGCTTGTTTAACTTTTTCTTCATATTTACAATGATTAACCTACTGAGTTCAAGAATATCATTTGTCATGATTTTTTTGTTGTAGGCTCTAACAGCAGATTTGGAAGCAGTAAAGGACAAACAGCAATTGACAGAATACGATCTGTTACATATGGAAAATAAGCGAGCTGGCCGAGATAAATATAAAACATTGCGACAAATTCGTGGTGGCAATACAAAACGTCGTATAGACCAGTATGAAAATATGTGAAAACATCGCTTGTTTTCCTTTATTTCCTTATCTTATTTTATGTGCTGGTTTTAATTTTGTGCCGTGCCATCGCGATTTTGAATTTTTTTCCAGTAGCCAGTGCGCTGGTTTGCTTGTTTTTCAATTACTAAAATATAATAGCAGCGATACCACTTGTCATTGGAAATATTGAAATATTAGTGCTATTTGTCTTGGAGAAGTCGAGTAGAAAAATGCAATCTTTGATATGAACAAATTCATTGAAGTCAAAATTGGATTTTCAAATATTGATTAATTCTCAGATGATGCTACGAGTTACTGCTCTTTACACTTTTCTTTGCCTTTTTAAATTTGTTCAGGCAATTATGACCAAATTTGTATAGCGCTAAGTGCATTGGATGTGCTGGAAACTGAAATTTTCTGTTTTATGTTATCATCCAGTGAATTTGTGTCCACACATCATTCAGGAATCGTATTGTGTATTCCCGCAAAAATTCATTCCCATCTTTAATGCCCTCTCTATTGGTTACTTTTGCACTTTTGCTTTTACTAACTCCATTATTGCTGTATGGGAAAATCTTCATGCCCCTTACTTGTGGATTATAGGTTTTACTATTAATCGACCAACCGCATCGTGCCTTTTCTGGGAAATCATTTATTTTCTCGTACACTGTTACAACTTATCCCATGCTTAACTAAAAAATGACCGAGCGCGTTTGGAGTCAATGATCACTAATTCTTGTTCTCCGGACATTGTTCGATTTTTGTGAAAATTATGGTTCCAGAACGCGTCGTCCTACCATGCTATTTGGATTTACTTATATATTAGGCAGGTTTCGATCGGTTTCGGTCAATATTTAAGGAAAAAAAAACGGTTGTTTATTGCCTGTTGAGTTTTTAAACTGTGGAATTATCTTATTCTTTTCTTTGTTTTCATTTTTAATTCCAAACCCAAATTGTTCATGTCCTTTCATTCTTTTTATTCGCCATTCATATAAATGGTGATACAAAGTTAAATAATCATTTGCCTTATTTTAAAAATAAAATGTGCTGAATTTTACAGCCGATTTCGTTATCTTTTCGAAGAAAATAGCTCGGAGAATGTACTACTGATATTATTTAAAGAACTTGTAGATCTTGTGTTACAGTTAGCAAGAACGGAAATAAATAGCAAGTACTAGACAGATTGCTTTGTTAGAATAAGTTATTATGTGCGACAGTTCGAGAACAATTATAATTCACGGGAAATATACTTCTTATTAAATCAAACTGATTTCATCCCAGTGAAGGAACTTAAGACATCTTACTTTTTTATTTCTTCATTACAGTCGAGTTGTTTGTAAATTCCGAGTGTGCGTTTTTTATTACTATTTTAACTTCTGAATAAGCGCTCAAAGAAGTTGCTTATCGAGGGGATGAAGTAAAACACTTCAGGTGTTGGTTTCTAGATGTATGATACAACACGCACGTATTGTACAGGAATGAGAATGGTAGTACTCGCGAGCCATTCTGTACTAAGAGCTTCAGTTTTTTAAGGCAGTAAATGTCGGTCGGAATCGTCATGAAATACATCCTCTTCAGGAATTATGATTGTGCTGTATAAGAATGTTCTGCTATACCGGCATGCATATAGCAGGATAATAACTGGTGAATATCGAAGTGTATATCTTACAATACCAAAGCGGCAGAGTAATAGACCGCGATTTCCATTTTTCAATAAACATATGAAAGTGATTGATCCAGCTCGTCAAGATCCGGATCATTTTGAAAAACTGGCACATCAAGTATCGCTTGGTTAGCCCGTTTTCTCTTTTTAGAATTATATGTTCGATATTCACAGGTGAACTGCCACTGATATATGTATTCGTAGGAAGGGAAGTTATAAGGACAAGAGACATAAGCGATCGGAACATAGATATGCAACGAAGGAGGGATGTTATTCCGCTATTTAAACAAATCGTAGAAGATCAATAAATTGTAAATGTTTTGAGATGAACGATATGTGGATACATTATCGCTTTTATGGAAAGAAAAGATAGGAAGCGAACGAGAAGTGTTGTTCAAAGGTGATGATCGAATGATTGGAAGAAAGCCACAAAATTGGGTACCAGAAATTGACGAGAATTCACCCAAAGCTAATTATGCAGAACTGGACTGGGAGGGAATACCGGAATCGGTGAAAAAGATTTTTAGGTAGACATACTAAATTAATATTTTTTAATTAATGACTGAATGACGCATGTGACAATTACGTTTCAACTGAATAGCGCATGTGACAATTACATTTTTGTTGGTTCGTTAAGTGTTTCAAGCATACTGCTTATCATAGTTATGAAATAAATAGGTTGGCCATAAGATGCTTGGTAATCAGTTCAAGTGGGCAAATACAGATATCACCGAAAAATTAGAATAGAATTCCATATCATATATAATTATTTTGCCTTTTTTTTTTAGGAAATTTAATGGTAATGTTTTATCTAATTTCTAATTTTGCATATTCTTACTTTCAGCATTAAATTTGGCGAAAGGCGAGATTACACAGATGCTTGGAAAAAAGCTTTGATTGACAAAGTACGAAAACACGAACTCGATATAAACTCATTAGAAGTGAAAAGTAAGTTGGTAGAACCAAACTTGTAAGGAATTTAAGTAATTTTGGTGGACATTTGACGAAGTGATTAGAATTTTTTAAATATTTAAAGATTGTTTTGAAACAGGTAATTAAAAGTTTTAATTCTGAAAAAAGATACAGAGCATGGATGGAGAAAAATTATATTACTGTACTTTGTGTGATTCTAATTTTCATCAATTTAAATAAAAAATTATTTAGTTGCTTGGACAACCGGTGTAATACGTTCGTGGACCTTGCTAGTGAAGGAAATAGATAACAAACCAAAGGTGTAGTACATTCTATTTTTATTTCTGTTTATTTCGGGTTGGTTTAGTTAAAAATTTCTGTGGAAGTGGCTAAATTGGTGGTTGCTAGGAACTATAGGATTTGATGTCGTCTTTATAATAAGCCTGTGTAACCATATACACATAGTTGTTTGCTTGACTATTTTTTGCAATTTGCTTGATGTTAACTAGATTTAAGCTTCATAACTATCCATTTCCATGAAATCCTGAAATTCCACGTCCCATTTTAAGAAAAACAGTTGTTTTCTGTTCTTTCATTTTTTTTCTGTAAATTTAATCTATCTTTTAACAATTTCTCTCAAGTGACACTTAAAAATGAAGTTTTTTGCAGAAGCCAGCTCATATCGTATATCCTCTTCACTTGATGATAGCATTTCGTCGAAAACTCTTACGGCAATTACGCGAAGTAGATGCAGCAGCTTTCGAAAAGGTTTTATTTCATAAATAGTGGAATGACCTTTGGACGTCACTTTTGCTTTTACTGTTTGTTCCCAAACAATTTTTTCATAAGATTTCGATGAATCTGTAAGATTATACTCCCAGAATTGGAATTTAAGGTGCTATCGGAATTAAAAATCGCTTATCATGTGCCGAAACGTCCGGAGGAGCAGGTTGAAAAAAGGCGAAAAGCTTGGGTGGAAGCCCTCTTGAAGGAAAGAATTGCAATGGAAAAAGATATTCAAATGGAGGAGTTAAACAAGAAATATATCGCTGAACGGATACAATGTGGACCTGAAGTAATTTGATAGTGATATAAATTCGCATAAAATAGATCATATTTGTAATCTGAATTTTTTACAAAAAGGAAATTTATCTAAGCAACATAATGCAACAACATATTGAAAAATTTTCGAATACCTTTCTTACATTATTGTGGTCTATGGATATCTGTGCAGAATTTACAGATAAAAAAGCGTCTAGAAGAATTGGACGTTGAAGAATCGAAAATCCATGCACGTCTAAAAGAACTTGCAAGGATTCAAGGAGAAATGCCAGAGAAATTGCCAAAATATCAACCGAAATTGATAGAAGAATTATCGGAAATAGCAGCTCATGCAATTTTATATCATCGTCCCTATGATTCTCAGCGAAAGAATAGATTGCTAGACGCATAAATAAATTAAAGTTGTCGATGATTCTTGTTTTGTGATTAGTGCGATTTAGACTTCGCGGAGAGCTAACGGAAAAGGAGTAGTAGCATTTAATCCACAATATCACATTCCAGTGTAGACCCTCTGAAAATTAGCGTTTGAATCTGCCATCTTGGTTTTTGTCGATTGTTGTAAATACGTGTTGAATTTTTAATCGATTTTGAACCTTTGTAACTTCAAATTAAAAAAAAAATATTATATGAGGCCGATACGAGTAGTCTGTATTGTCTGTTCAGGAAGTAATTGCTGTTTGCGTAAAGTCATTTTTGATTGTTATATGTAACGCATTTTTCTGCTTTTTAAGTATGATTATATGAAATAAATTTTGTCCTTCATTTGTATAGCAACAATCTTACACGACAAACATGGATGTTTGTATTTGCCGTTTGAAATTCCCTCTCTTTCTTATTTGCCGAGCAAATGCTTGAAGGGCGAGCACTATGCGCTGAAGTAGTTCCCATCAAGTGTGCGAGAGGTGTGGTATTACAAGTCCGCGTATTTGTAGGTCATTTAAAGCCCATCCTACTGTCAATGGTGATGTTGACTTCATTGCTGTCGGAGTGGTCATCAACCCTATTTTATATCGAATCTATCATATTCTCTTTTAAAATATTTCATTTCTCTCTCTTCTTTACCACTTGAATTTTTATCAGTTCCATCCAATCATTGTGAAATTTGAAATATATAGCAACAGCAACGTGTTACTGCGCAGCAGATATGTATATATATATCGAAGGCGTCACTTCAAAATGCTTCTAACACATAATACCTACCTATTCATTTATTTACGAACTAGTTAGGAACATCTAATCTATCTTAGAATACGGATACGGATAATAAATACGCAGGTCACAAAAAAAAATTTTCCCTACCTACCCAATAAATTTCAAGTTAGACATTTATTTTAGATAGGTAAGTTCTACTTAAAATTCAAATCAAATGGGAAAATTTTTGTGACCTGTGTATCTATTATCCGTATTGACTCTTAGAAATGTTACAGGGTTCATTTCATTTCATTTCACCGTGAAATATCTTCAATTAGGAGAGAATTTTTTTGTTAGTGAAAAAAAATATAGCGCATGGAAATATCTAATACGAAAGGATAAATAAAACGAGGCGAAAGAAACTGCAATGATCGATAATTGATTTTTCAACAATTTTGTTTGAAACGTTTATTGTACGCAACATTGGATTGCTTTGTTCGCACTCCGACCCGCTGACTGCACCGAAATGAATTTGCTTCATTTAAGAAGCGTTTAAATTTACTTTACTTTTGGAAAATCAAAATTGGCTTCAAAATTACTTGAAATATAGATCAATTTGTTGTCGCAATTTTGGAACTTGATACTGTGATTTGTCAATCGTTAATTTATTATTCAATTTTCTTTGAGTCTCTCATTGTTTAATTTAGCTTTTAATTAATCATGCTTAAGTATGTTTTAGAAAATATACCTATATTGTAAATGTTTCCGGGTTATTCGAGTAATTATGGAATGGATTTATTTTTCATGCCAGTCTTTCAAGCTTACTTCCAACGGTTAACTTCAAATTTGTCGCTTGACGCTTATATTTATAAAATTCATTTATCAATAGATTGCATGTATGCGGCGAACATTTGATTGTATCGAAGCGCCGCTATCCCGACTGTTCTATCGGTATGGTCGATATGTTGCGCAGCATCCACTACCATTCATCGCAATCCCGGTGTTAATTACTGCTTTCTGTTCCATTAGCCTTCTTCATATTCATCCTGTTACCGATCCTATTTATCTTTTCACTCCCCGAAATGCTCCGAGTAAGTACGAACGACAAATTATTCATAATCTATGGCCTTTACATTATAATAATTATATTCCCGGTCGAGCAGTAACACAATCCCGAGAAGTACAGGTACCCATTTTTGCATTTATTAAATTTTTGTGCGGCATAAAAATTCTTAATCTTGAAATTGGAGTAATTTTATGAATTTGTTCGTTTTATTGACGTAAATTATAAATTAGAATTTTTTCCGTAACGAAATGTCTTAAAACTGTTTTAACTTTTCTTGTTCACTCTGTTATTATAGCTAGTATCAGTACATTATCAACAATTGTTGAAAATTCATCGGCTAACAAAAAATTTTTGTACAATATACTGACAAATTGGCAGGTGATAGTAGCTAGTCGAGATGGCGGTAATATCCTGGAACGACCATATTCTGAAGCAGTGCGACGTTTGGATTTTTTTATTCAGAACCGTGTCAAATTATATTATATGGGTAAAACATACAGGTAATGAATAATTTTAATTCGACTTATACCTGACTGTTTCCTGAAACGAATTGACCACCAGCTTAGAGGATGTACTACATATATCACTCAGTCTTTCCTGATTTCTGCTAATCATGATTTGTTTTTTTGATTACCGTTCATTCAGGTTTACTGTTACTCCTAAAAATTATGTTTCTGTGAAAATTAAGCTTCTAATTAAAAATAAAAAAGTTTAGAAAATTCATTCCCAATTAAAATTGAACGAAGTTCAAATTTGTTTAAATTGTTTAAGATATCTTAATTACTTTCGGTTAATTTCCTTAACCATTTCAATTAATTAAACAACAGGTATCATGATTTATGTCTGGAATGGCGTAATGAGGGATGTCCAGGAAATAAACATATTCATATTGTCAGTGATCTTTATCAACATGGTATCAATGTCACATATCCGACTGTACGATTCGGCTCTGCGTATGTGTTATTTTCTAAATGTCGCGAAGTTTCAAATTATCACTTCCCTGAAACTTAAATATAATTAAAGCAAGTTTTAGAATTTTACTTGAAATAATTCAAAGATTCTGCCAGACAATAAGTAATAAGTGATAAAAATTGTTCCAACTGATGTAAATAATTGAAATTTAGATGATGGAAATATTTGTAAGCATTCGTTATGTTTCTTATCATCTCTTTCATATTGAAAAATATGGGAAAGAGGGAGTGAAAAAGAAGGAAAACGAAAATTACTTTTGTGATGTTAATTTTAAAATGATAACAATTTCGCTCTATTAACTTTCTTTATCATTAAAACTTTGAATACCAAAAATGCGAATAATTTCGTATGCCAATTAATCTTTTTTAAATTTAATTCTTTTGTAAAAGGAAAACATTGTTATGTCTTTTAAAACTTTCAGCAAAAATAATAAGATTTATTAAAATGATTCTAATAAGAAGCATAGAATGATCATATGTAACAGATAATTTTTGTTCATCTTTTTCACACTCATTTAATTTTGTGTCTTTTCCGTCATGTTTGAATTATCTTATCTATTCCATCTTCATCATTAGCAATCCTGCAATGAATCTTGAGGCGCTGCCATACCACACATCAGAATTATCATATTATTATCCTTCATTTAGCAATAAAGCTCAAATGAGGGTAACAGTGACGATTATGCTAACAATATATTAACAACTTTGCTCAACTAAATTTCACTAGATATTTAAATGTTCAGACTTAATTTTATCAGATATTTAAATATAAATCCGGATTGTCATGAAATTGTTCTGAAGAAAAGGTAATGTAAACAGGTATGCAGTAAATGATACATCATTCATTTTTGCCTAAGATCTAAAAAATACGGTTTGTTCGGTATGGTCAATTAACACTTTTTAAAACTATTAGAACTTTGAGACTTTTAATGGACAAGAAGTGAGATTGAAAGACTAATTGCCACTCATCCTGTATTACAAAAATTGTTTGAATATTAAGTGGTGAATAAATATCAATTAAAGAAAGCCATTTAACGACTAGTAAAATGAGCTTGCTTTAGAAAACCTATTATTATAATTGATTAAAAACTTTTTGAGATATACAGGAAGTCTTTTATATACTTTATACAATCTTGAAAAATCATTAAAGAAGCGGTTATATTGGTGGTGCGCTTGGTGGAGTGTCACTTTTCCGTGAAGCTAACGGTAGTGCTTCATTAGCTGGTGGACTTGCTTGGTTTATGATATATCATCTTAAATTCTTCCCACAGAACACTAGTTATATCGCTGGATTATGGGAAAAGGTGACTTTTTTTAATTTTCTAATATTTTATAACAAAAATTTTAAATTGGTCTTTTCACATGTAAATTTAGAACATGTAAAAATGCAACGTATATTCTGTTGAGAGGTTATCCAAAAAATACAAGTAGAATATTTTATTCTATTCTTAGAATATTTATTTCTATGTAAGTACAAGTAGAATATTTATTTCTATGCAAGTAGAATATTTTATTCTATTCTTCGATAAATTTTTTTAAATATCAATCAAATTTGTATAAAATATCTCAGAAATGAAGTGGAACTTAAGAGTATAATTCTAATTTGAGTATTATTAAATAGGTAATAGTTTTAATATTTTGAAAATGTTTATTTGAATAAAATGTGATTTGCATAGAAATGAAATTCATAAAAAAATATTAAACATCTGAAAATGATTGAATTCATATTACATATCGATATTTTATAATGAAAGAAAATTTCTTATTTACAGAAATTACAAGAAGCATTGGATAGTTATCCATTTGATCCTTTCATTTCATTCACTTATTTACATTCACAATCGTTAACGGAAGAACTAAAACGTAACGCGAATTCATTGATTCCACGTTTTGTGATAGCATTTTCAATTCTTGTCTTTTTCTCTCTTCTATGCTCCTTAATTTTTATCAGTGGAACATTTTATGTTGATTGGGTCCTTTCTAAACCAGTATTATCATTACTTGGTGTTATCAATGCTGGAATGGGTATCGTTACTGGTATTGGAATTACTAGTTTTTGCGGTAATTTTTCCGTCACTTCATATTATTTCTATTTATTTTACACAAAGTATAATAATGCTTAGCTTTGTAAGGATAATATTAATACCAGTATCTCTAGAATTTGGCTTAAACTTTAGCCTTAATTTACTTTGAATACTCCTGAATATAACCGCTAATAGAATATTAGCTTATTAAAATTGGATATTTTAGTAGGAGATTTAATAATTTCAGGTGTGCCATACAGTGATATTGTTGGTGTGATGCCATTTCTTGTGGTAGCTGTAGGTACTGACAATATGTTCTTGATGGTAGCAGCTGTTCGACATACTAATCGGGCTTTTCCGGTTCCAAAACGGATTGGCGAATCAATGAGTGATGCGGCTATATCAATTCTAATAACCTCACTCACCGACGCCTTCTCTTTTGGCGTTGGTGCAATTACTAGGTGAGTTAAGTTCCGAAGTGCTGCTCTATTTTTTGATTACCTGATAGTCAATGACTAAAAAATTTTATCATAAAATATGTTATAAACATGTGTGCCATAAGCTTCGTTGTAAACATTATGCTATCTCTTCGACTTAGTTTTGTTAACTAAATGAATTTCACGGAATGTGTTATACGTTCACTTGGGAATGGCTTTCTTCCTCTCAATTTTTGATTAATAATACATTTTGCAGCATTCCAGCAGTACAGATTTTTTGCATTTACACCGGTGCTGCTATAACAATTACATTCATTTATCAAGTGAGTCATTTATTGTTTGTTTTATCAAGTGAGTCATTTATTGTTTGTTTTATCAAGTGAGTCGTTTATTGTTTGTCTTGAAATGAGCAAAAAATTACAGAAAAACTCGAAATTATAAAGGTTGTCAATTTTTTTAAAAATTTTTTAAAAATATTTCCTAATCAAAATAGCTTAATAGAGCTAACTGTAAACAGATATCCTTCTTTTGTGCACTGCTGTCGTTGGCTACAGAATGGGAAGCAGCAGGATTACATTGTGTTTGGCTTCAACCAACCATACCGGATACATTTATCAAATCAACATCACTTAAATGTCGATTATTTTGGATGGGTTCAAGAGCTGATCCTGATCCAAGAAATTTGCAGCAAAATTTGAAAGATACAAGTGCAAAAATATTTTTTAAAGAATGGTTAGTAAAAAATAATTTGCATTCTAAATTTTATTTGAAAAATTTAGTTTCAATCTTCAATAAATTTTAATTCTATATCTATTCTATTATTACCTACTATAGGTTTGCTCCAATACTGATGAATCCAGTAGTGAAGATACTTGTTGTCATGTGGTTTTTCATCTACATTGCTCTATCTGTGTACGGTTGTCTTCATTTACGTGAAGGCCTTGAACCAATTAATTTATTGGTGCAAGATTCCTATGCTATACCGCATTATCGCTATCTGGAAAAGTATTTCTGGAATTATGGTGCTCCTCTTCAAGTACTTTCTTACTTATGCTAACACCTTTTTATAATGAGCATTATCTAATTTCATTACCTTACCATAAGTCAGCTCAACTTGGCAAGATTCAACTTCGTTTTGGCCAACATTTCAGTGCATTTACTTTTAACTGATATCATGAAGTTTTCAAGGATTGAATATCTGCCCGTCTTTCTGAATAACAAATGTCTTTAACATATAATATACTTGTAGTGAGTTTTTTAATTTCCAGATTGTCGTGAATAATGCACCCGATCTGCGAGACAGAAATGAAAGGCATCGAGTGCAATCGATGGTGCATGCATTTGCTAACACGAAGTACTCCATTGGTAAGTTCATTTATAAATGCGGATCTCTAATTTAACTATCACATCAAAATTATCCTTAAATTCCTCAATTCAAATTCTAAAATTTTGAGTTTTTAAATTAATTTTATAATACAACTTTTCCAATAATTTTAAATGCTTACGAATTTGTAATCAATTTTTGTCCTAATATTTTCAAATTAAGGTGACGATAGTATACAATTTTGGTTGAAAGAAATGGAAATTTATTATAATAAAGAATTGGAAATGGACATTGTTGATTCGGAAATATACGGAATGGCGGAACATTTCTTTTCGGCAAAATCTCAGGATATCTGGTGTGAAGATGTCATTTGGGAAACTAATCAGCAGGGTCTCTACAGTATTCGAAGTTTCAGGTACATATAAATATTTTATCGATTTTTTTATTATGCTTTATTTTAAAGTGATTAACTAAAAAGTATTTAAAATAAAATTTTTTTGTTCAGTTTTTTCAAGCCTAAAACGAATTCAATTTCGGCATTTTCCACATTCTTTATTAACATGAGTTTTTTTTACTAAAATTCAACTATTACAGGTTTTTGATAGGCATGAAACATATTTCAAAAACATATTATCAAGAAGATGCAACAAGAACATTCCGAAAAGTAGCTGAACACTATTCATCCTATAATATTACCACATTTTCACCTCTATGGCTATTCACTGACCAATATGCCATTGTAATTCCCAATACCATACAAAATATTCGTCAGTTTTTTCATCTTCATATTTGAATTTGAACTATTTGAACATTTGTTCTTATTTAAATTCATGATAATTTAATTTCAATTATAGTGATAGCATTAGTGGTAATGATTATAATTGCGATGTTACTAATACCACAACCATTTTGCTCCGTTTGGGTAGCATTCTCTATTGCATCCATTGATCTTGGCGTTATTGGTTTTATGACATTATGGGATGTCAATCTGGTAAGGTTTTTTTTGTTCGATATCAGATCTGAAAAAGTTGTAGAAGTATAAGATTTTGAGATGAAAAAGACAAGCATTGACAGGAGAAATGGTAACTAGAGAGGAAGGAGAGTTTATGAAAAGAAAGTTTCTTAAAAACAAAATTATTATCAGGATGCTATATCAATGATAACGATAATAATGTCGATTGGCTTTTCGGTTGATTATTCAGCGCATATCACTTATGGATATGTTATCTCGGCTGAATCTACTCCTGAGCAACGAGTGAAAACAGCGCTTGGTGCTCTTGGATGGCCTGTAACACAGGGAGCGATGTCAACAATTTTGGCTGTTGCTGTTTTGGCTGATATACCTGCTTATATGATCGTTACTTTTTTCAAAGTAATGTTTTTAATTTTACTATTATTCACTGGAAGCTTTATAATCGAATGACATGAAAGAAAATTTTGCTTATTTCAATAATTCATTAAAAAAACTATGCAAACTTTAATCTTTGAAACTTCTAGACAGTGTTATTATCAATTGTGCTTGGCCTTCTTCATGGCCTCATATTTCTACCAGTGATGCTTTCATGGTTTGTTGGAGGTTCTTGTATTCTTCCTTTCGACGATAAGGCTTGTTTCATATCACTTTTTCACTCATCTTTTTTTGTTTTAAATTGTTTTCATAATTTTCAGATTTAATAATTCTAGCCTTTTAGAAAATAATAGGGTAATGTTTTATGGCTGGCATTTTAGTAGGGAGAAAAGTTTTTAAATTAATTAAAAACTATCAACTACTATCAGCGTCCGGTTAAGTTTCCTGGAAACAGATAGTTTTTGTTGACCTGAAAAATAATGTTCGAATCATCCATACAATATTAAGTAACAAATGAATATATCACACGTGGGAAAATGCCGAAAAAAATCCAAACAATTGTGATCGCCATACCTGATTTCTCGCTTATTTAAGATAAATCAATCAGGTGAACAAGACTTACAAAAAACATCGACAATTGAGCAATTTGAAGATATTAGAGAAGTGTCGGGAACCGTGATACAATCATGCGATCCTTATGGTATTTATTTGTCTCGAAATATTTCTGCTCGACGGAGTTGTCCTCGCCAGATAAAGCCTAGTCTGGACTGTATAAGTTCATTAACAATACCATCACGAAGGCTTACTGAAGCTAATTCAAATCCATTTTAATTTCATCTAATTTCGTGTAGTGAGCATTTAGCGCTTCACAAAAAATTCTCTTGATTTCTCGTGCGCATGCCCGAAAAAAAAGATTGCGATCATATATTTTAGCATGAGCCTAATGATACATTGGCCCATTTATATTTCCAACATTTATTCTTCTCACATTTTAGTAAAATCTCAATTTAAATTTCCTTCTAATTTATTCCTTTTATTATTCCATTCTTTGCTGAGAAAAAAAGAAAATAAAAAGGGAATAAAATTAGTCCATATAATCGTATTGCAAAAGAGATAAACAAATACATTAATCAAAATTTTCTGTTTCAAATTTCAAAATTATTTCTTTCCATTCATACCTCACCACGAGACAAATTATCCAAATTCCTTCAACAAGAATACTCTCTTTTGTATATTCCGCTTTTGGCCATACTAGTCATTACCGCCCATACTTCTTCATTTTGCTCGAATACATTCTCCAGTCATGTATATATGTATGAAAGGCCTTTTTTGAAAATATTACATTTTGCGCCATTCTATATGCAATTAGAAGTGTATCAGTCATATGCAAATGAGAATTTCTGTTGTATTTTATCAATATATTGCTTCTTTATTTTCATAAAATGTGCAAACTGTTACTTATCATTGATTGCGGGAAATGATATGCTGAAGTGATCGATGTTGATTATTTATTTATTGTCACTATGTATAAATTAAGAAAATAAATATGTTTTCATGTAAAAACAACACTATCTTTAATGGTCTAAACAAAGTCATGAAAAACTACTACTCATTGATTGAAATGATTAACACAAAGAGAATTCACATTCATCGGAATCAGAAATAAAGTAGGATGAAATGTGAGTAAGTAATTCTACCGTAGGCATTCGGATTCGGTCAGCACCGGTCAGTATATGAGATGACAGGTACTTCAAGAAAATTAACGATGACCTCACATCTTTAGAAGGAATGGGAGAGCGATTTTCATTCAGTGTTTTATTTGGCGGATTGTTGCAGTCCCTGGCGTAAATGGTTGGTTCGTGGTGTGGGCGTTTCTTCTTTGAATGCCCATTCAGGCATTAAAAGTTTATTAGCGTCACATATCTGTATGCTTTATGTATTCAACTCTCGTGTTATTTTTAGGTTTTTCAGCTTTTCGAGAACAAACCACTGGATTGGGTCGTCTGCGCTTGACAATTCTCTTCGAAGAGGAAGCCTCACTCCTAATCAATGTTCGATGAAGGTATTATTAGTTAGCATTCATTTCATATCATTGTTGAGGTTACTCATCTTTCCACCTTTACTTCTACCTTCAAATTTTCAAACTGATCCTTTCAATTTTTGCTCACTCTGTTCATCATGAACTGCTGCAACATCTATGAATTGTTAAGGGTTGTTTTTTAGAATTAATATTTGAATTATTTGCAGCAAATGAACGTAGCCCAACAGGACATATCACTACTAATCCTGAAGATTTGCTTGCTCGTCGTTACAGACGAGGGAACTCTGAATCAGGTATTACATAAATATGAGATAGGTAGTTGGTAAATTTTCTGAATTCCGAGAAGATTTGAGCTGAATACTGGAAGTTACGCTTTTTTTATATTGTCCAAATTTACACAAAGCAAGTTGAAACTTTATTTTTTTTTCAGTAAAAATAGCACAATATAATTGGTCTAAATTGACTTTTTATATTAAGTTTCTATTTATATATTGCTTATACATTATTTCTTTCTGTGACAGTATTATTCATGCTTCAGTTCGACATCTCTCGGTACGAGTTCGTGTTGCGGAAGAGGAAATTAAAAAGTACAAAATACAAAATGAGACTTTAAAGAAGACTGTCACAAAAGTGAGCAAAGAATTATGTGATAAGCAATGTGAGGTGGAGAGCTTACGAAAGATGTTCGAACAGCAAGTTGATGATCTTCAATATCAATTGTCAAAGAAGGAACGTGAGGTTGTGTAGTTAAATCTAGGGGAAATTTTTTGTGTATTTTGTTGGGCGGAAACCACTTTTGCATTTTCAACTTCCATTGAGGGATATGGAAGCATATGAAAGGCGAGAATCGACCTATATCCGTATGTTTAGAACTTTTCCATGTTTTTAATAAAGTTCGTCTTTTACAGAATAAACAAAGCAAATTCGAGACCGTAATATCGCTTTTACAAAGTACTGCAGGTGTAATTTGCTTTAATCCTTTGCACGCAGAACCGCTTAGTTTTGTACTTAAGAGAGTTTAATATATTGTGTTATTCCATTTGTATACTATTTCAAATTTATTTAGTTATAATCGCTCAAATATTACTAAAGAGGTTTTTTAGGAGCATCCATCCAGCAATTTTTTTTCCCGTGTTTTAGATCCTCTAAAGACATATGAACCTCCATTTTCATTTCTTGATGAACCGAAACTGGAGACAGCGAATGCAGAAGCGCAAACAGATGATTGGATGTTGCGGTCCATAAAGAAGACAGTTTATGCAGACAACCGAATCGTCCGTAAGTTCAAAGTTGGGAATGTATAGAAATTACATATCGATTTGATCATCAGTGGTTGTTATAAAGTTTTTGATTTCTTATGCTTGGATTTTGTCGATTTATATCTTCTCCGTTTAATGTTTATTTAATTTTTTATTTAACAAATCTTCAGAAGTCTAGTTAAGATATCAATTTTTATTGAATTTATAGCGACTGCTGGACCAAGCTTAATTGTGGAACTTCCGGCTGATAATGAAAATAGTGATGCTGAGAGATATGAAAAAATGGCAGAAGAAATTGCAAAATTGGAGAATGAAAAATTTTTTCTGAATACACAGTTGAAATTAACCAGGTGTGGTTGCTATCTTTATTTGATTACGGGATCTTCATGATTATATTCAAATTTTTTTTAATGTTTATAAGCAAAACAAAGTTGTTAGATTCTTTATGTAGAATCTCAAAGGAGTTGATGATTAGTTGTTTATTATTGAACGAAAACAGATAATTTGAAATGAAAAAAAATTAGTTTCTATCATCGACAGAAACAAACTGGAAAATCTCGAATTGCAAGAAGCGCAAAAAACGAGTTTGGAAAATCGATTGGTAATCCTGACCGAAATGAATGATTGTCTGGTCGTAAGTTGTGCATCTATATTCAAGACTATTTTTTTTTTTGAAGAAACTATTTTTGTCTAATCATATGTTAGAAATGATCGACAAGCTTATCGATATCAACAACATAACAATTCTTTCCTCTTGCATGTCAGGAGGTTGTTTTTTCAAAAAGTGCAGCTGCGTTCTTGATTTAGTGTGTAACATACGTTTATTGTGACGTTTTTCTAAACATAATTTGAATGGAATTTTTGACAGCAAATGTGACTGTTGAAAATCAATTTCACTATGGCAAAACCCTGGAGAGATTATCGAAATTTTATTGTTTAGATTAGGATCTTCGTTAGGAGAGTTCGTGACAGTGGTTTTAAACCATTATGTTGATGGATTCTTCGAAACAAAAAAAGAAATGTTAAATATATTTAAAAATGTTAAATATATTTAGAATTAATCTTTTGTTTTAGAAAGAGAATGAACGTATTAAAGAGATAACTGCATCAAAAATGGTTGCTGACGGTGGCACGATGGAAGAGAAGCGCAGAATTATTGATTTAACCTTAAAGTGTCAAACGAAGTTAGTTATCTCTGTTAGCAAGAAAAAAATTAGCAACATTCAAATTTATACACGACAGCAAAAAGCTTCATTTTTAGATTGGATGAGATACAGGCGGAATTGGATTGGAAGTCGCAGAAGTTGCAAGAGCAATTGCAAATCAATCAAATTTTGTCAGTAAACTGTGTTCTGCAATTATTTATCAACTGAGTTTTGTTGTTATTGCCTGGAAAATTCTTCTTTAAAAATCCAATGAAGTATCTCAATCTCATAATTCTTAATGTAGGTCAACGAATTTGGAAAATATGAAAGATAAACTAAATGCCGAGAATGGCGAGGACGCAGGCATGATTCAAAATGACGTGGAAGTTTTAAAAAGATATGAAAGTGAAATCAGTGAACTAAAGAAGAAACTTGCTCAATACGTATGTTTTTCCTGTTCAACGTTTTTCTACGGTCCGTTAAAAGATCAGGAGGCAGTAGTATAATATAAGAATTTGTTGGAGCACTTTCCGTATCTTTCAATCTGTATCCTATTTTTTTGTTTTTTTTTTTTGTTTAATTTTAGATGGAAATTTTTATTTCATATGATCCTCTAACATTGAAGCAAACTGGTTGAGAACAAATTGGATAAAGATCTAACCTTAATTTACTTGAAAAAAAAAGCATTTCAGGAAGAATTGCTGGATCCATCTATCAAAATTTTACACATGAAGATGAATCCTCTGCATACAGCATATCACGAATATAAAGAATTTCAAACAAATAAAAAGCGCAAATTGGTATCATCAAATACGCAATTTATTAATTCTTCAAAATCACATTATTTTTCTTGTACAGGTGTGCTGCATCAATTTAACGCTATTTTGTTTCTTATGATTTTTTTTTAGAACGAATCTTTATCATTTTTGAATGAAGATAACGATAATTTGATCGCTACATTGCGGAAAAAGCAGCGTGTCGAGATGACAAAACAATTAGCAGGTAATTGAACGATTATTTATTTCGTATAATAACCATGAGCCACTTTACATCTATACAAATGGTCTGATCACTGGGGTAGCTGTATAGTTATATACAACACTTTTTTATAAGTAATAATATAACCTCAAAAAATTAAATTTTTAGAAAAGTTTGAGGGACCAATGTTATTATTGCTCATGAAGTAATTTTAAATTGTTTTACGAAAAGCTATGTAAACTTAGATATAATGAAAGAGAATGACATGAAAGGTTTAACAAGGATACTAATTCATGCCGAAGTATTTGTTGTAAACATGAATGTGGTCGTTGAAAGCAAATTAAATTTCAGATTTGCAATTCCAATTACATAAAGCAGAAAAAGAAAAAGAAAGAGCACTAAAAATACAAAGTAATTTAGTCAAGAAATATCGTGCTTTCGTGACTGCTCTTTCTGGATTACAAATAAAAATGAAAGAGGATGATTTGGTGCAAGTTGAAAGCATTTTTGATCCTGGAAATTATTTTATTTTCAAGGTTATGCTTTATAATTCTTTAGTATTTTAAACTATAAATTACATGCAGAATTTATTTATGCTACTATTTTAGATCTGTTTCTATGCTTGGAAATTCGAATCATTTAATTTCTATGTTGAACATTTTAAAAACTTTCATTTACTTAGCTAAATCGAAGTAGTAAAATTAAGATCGGTTGTATTTGTGGCAACTGTAACCCTAATTATGTTCTTCTTTTTAGGTACTCGATTATGGAAAAACGATTAGTTTATTGGAAACAGATTATGCAACGCGATGGACAGCGCAAATCCATGAATATCTACAAGGGAGAAATTCAATTCCTGCTTTTTTAGCAGCAATTACTTTGATACTTGATGAACGGGCCGAAAGTACAACTTCCGTGTCTTTTTATCAGTCTGATTAAAGTCAGAATAAACAAATCACATTGATACTTTGATTTTTTAGTACTACGTGGAAATTAATTCTGTATTTCGAAAATCCATGATTTAGCTCAATACAAAGAAATAAATTTCAGGCCTTTAAAAAAAGATTTCGTATCATGGTATATTTCTATAAATAGACGTTTGTGTTTGTGTCTTATTGACTTCTGTGTGTTTGTAACTACATCATAGTAAGCCTGTTTTATCATTCTCTTATGCTGATAATTATATTAACATTGATAATTATATTTTCGAAAACTTTAAAGCTTCTCTGGCCTGTCGTATAATTCCCAATTTCCTATGATAATAAAATATTTATCCCGTGCATTTTTTTATGCAGGTAAAGCTTTGGCTTCTAATATTATTTCATTTTCCATTTTATGAAAACAAGCTAGAATGCTTTCCATGTGACCCTAAATTAAACGCATTTGAGTATCATATGTTAATTCACATGTGAATAGCCGTAATTATAATCGTTATGATGTGATGTTGCAGTGCATAAAAATAGAGAATGATATGATTTTGCCAATCCTCTTCAGTTAAAAGCAGGTTCGGCAATGTCGAATGGTAATATTATATTATTATAAATTATTGATGACTGGTATTTGTTCTTGAAAATATAAATGAAGTTGTTTAAATTGAACACAAATGAATCGTTATTATTATTGGTAACTGATTATCACTTTCACTAATATTATCAATTGTTGCATTTGTTAGGTAATAATGATGAAAATGTAACACAGAAGAAGGTATTTCAGCAGAATTTTATTTTAAGATAAGTTCGATGAATCATAGTCTTATATAATTGACTTGTAAAGCTTCTCTCCTCTGTGTTTATCTTGTGATGGTATAAGATATCATGGAACTAATTCTTGCCTAAACTTATTTCATCATTTGTCCTAATTAGTAACATATCATCAATGTCACCGGTATCCCATCCATTTTTCCTTCTCATTCTTTTCTCTCAATTATCCTGAGTGTTCTTGCTTGTGATAAAAATTGCGGATGCATAATTCACGGATATGATATGGAAATAATTAATGTAGGGAAGCTTTTTGTTGAATAATTTATTCATCTTTGTGGACATTACTAAATCAGATAGGTTGAAAGTAACCACTGTTCTCTTTATTTCAAGGGATGGAGAAATCATATTAGCATTGCGAAATAGATTTGAACAAATGCGTTTGTACTTTCCTTAATTACTTTACTTTTATATTATATTTATTAAAAACACAACCAATAATGATATCAGTGTATTACCTTTCTGAGCTATCACTTTACACGACTCAAATTCACGCTTTGAACAATGTTTGAATTTCATTTCTATCTAAAATGAAATATCGGTATGGTCACAAACGACTTTCACATTAGAACATTAACATTTTATTGAAATGATCTATATTTTGAATGAAACTGAATGAAATTTTGCTTCATTTGTTGATGTACACTTCCTAGATAATCGTTGTCAAAAGAAATATTATTGCGCAATATCTCAGACGACATGATAAATTTGTCATCAAAAAAAGGAAAATTTTCGGAAGTAAAATGCACAGCTAAGAAATAGCGTATGTGTTGCGGTTGTTGCTGACAGTTGTTCTTACTTTGATTGGAATGCTCAAAATTAACTATCGTCATTTACTAGCTTTCGTTACGTTAATACAATTTCTCACATAAATTCCCTTCAGTGAAGTCGGTTCAATTATGCAGTGCTATTGGTGTATGCAAAATAGTGTAGTAAACAAGTTGCCACTTTACTTTTAGTGAAGAACAAATGAGATTAATCCTTTCATTTATTCAAGAAATTTATATACATTCAAGCGATGACAATGATGAAGCTATGATAATAATCGCTATTGAAATTTCTCAAATTAATTCTACTCCTTTGTTTTAACATCATATCGCTTAGATTTATTTTATAAGCGTAATTTAACGTTTAGATCAAATTTTAGATCATCTCTCTCTTTTCCTTTCTATTTATGATAATATTTTGCCGTTTAGAGCAATTTAAAATCCGTTTTATTGATAAGGACAGAAAAGTATGCTTTCTAATTGATCTCTCAATGTGATAACAAATGATATGACAAAATTTGGTGAAGTAATTTACATCCTACCAAGTTGTGATTGTTGTTTTAACACCTTTGTATTAAACAAGATTAATGGAGGTGCAGATAATCATAGGTATTTCGCAAAGAAAAATATGTGAAGGTTAAATCTCAGCAGAATTACTTTAACTATCAGTCAATCATATACTATTCGGAAAAATGATAAATTTATGTTTTGCTTTTATTGCTTTGAATTAGATGAGAGCCAAACAGGATGAGTGAAAAACAAAAGGGAATAATGAGTAAAAAAGTCATAAATGAATAATTTTCCATTTCTGAAATTGTCGAAATTTATGATTGCAATGGAGATTAATTATCATTTTCATGGGATTCATAATAAATTGTTGTTTCAAAAAAGCTTTTTTACTAAGATTTTTTTAAATAGTTTTTTTAGATGATAGTAATTTTTGTATTTGATAGTTCCCGATTTCGATACCGCTACCTTTACTTTATCTCCACATAAGTTCAGCAAAAAGGTGTCACATGAAAGTTTACCACTTTACCACTTTTAAACAACATCCAACATAGGTTGTATGTAACCGCACCGGATGTTGCTTAAAGTGCTGGCATGCCTTAACATGATGACCTTTTTCTTATGAATAAATCTGTTCCATTCACCTTTTTTCTTTCCAAGGATTACTTTTTGAAATGAATTAAACTTGTTAATCGATCTAAACTGTAGTATTTTTTTTTCGATTCAAAGTTTTTAGTTTCCTGATCATTAATTTGATTTTCTACCAATAATACTCCAAAAACAACAACAACAACAACAACCTTCACCAGTCATTTTTATAACAACATTCTTTTATCATTTTCTTCAATTTATCAGGCAGTAGAAAATACGACGTTCCTACATGTATCTCTATAACAAGTAATCACATTATGACTCAATTGTGCTATAGTTCTGCTTTATTGTAACAATCCAGGAAAGGTGTTACGGTGTAAGATGAGTTTAAGAGATTTAAGGCATATATATATAGCTAAAAGATAAGGTCAGAGTTTGAGCAACCTTTTATGCTTCGTGAGAGAAGCGAAAAATGCTAGCAGACTAAGTGAAGCTGTAAGAAGTGTGGAAGTTTAGTGTTGGAATTTTGTTAGATTAAAGATATGTAGATGAGTTAGAAAACTCTGAACCCTCTTACCTTTCATTGATTTCGTCCCTTCTCTTCCTGCCACCTACCATCCCCTTTTCCTCTTCCAGCAGTTGCTCATACTACATCTTCTAAACATATGTAAGCATGTATTATACATCATTCTATCTATCTATGTATGTATGTGTATGTGTGTATGTCTGTGTACATTTGTGTATGTGTGTATGTATATGTATGTATGTTTGGATCAAAGTTTTAGAAGCATTTTTGCCGTACTTCACTTCAAACAGACATTTCATTATTTCGTCGAGTTTAAGCTATAAATGAATGAGTATGAGGAGTGGAAGTTTTGTTAACTGCAAACTGACGTTTAATGGTCGATAGTTAGGCTGTCTGTCTCTTACACTTTCCTAGGCTATTTTATGCATTATCAAAATGCATCTCTTATCTTCCTTTAGGCTAAAATGCAATTTATAATCGATTAAATTTTAGCTATACAATTGCAATTATTCCTAAATATCACTCCAATTAACATTAATTCTATTGGATCCATTTATCTGAATAATCTAATTGAAATCAAATTTTACCGTGAAGGAAGAATCCATGGCCGCCTCTTTTCACTTTGGCTTCATATCTTTTTCCTCTACTTTTCTCATTTCACTTATTAATCATCGAAGGTTGTCGAGAATGCAATCACGTCCTAGTTATCCTACATTTCTATCTCAATCATTACACGCGTATCTGCACATTCGTACGTATGAATACGTGTATACAAACGCATGTATACACACACATATACATATATATATACACACACATGGTTGGTTGGAAGAGGAGGAGGGACACGGAGCTGTGGCGCAACAAGTAAGCAGCTGAAGCAGCAACCATACGGCGATAGCTTCCTTCTAGATTAATCAATCTTCGATTGGGATGTGTTTGAGAGGGAGTGAATAAATGAGTAGGCTACAACTACTCTTGAAATCATCATCGATTATATTCATCTCGAAGTAGAGGAGAAACTTCCACACTGAACCATTGAACAACTTGTGAGTTACTTTAGTGTCTCCCCCAGATATCTGTATATGTGTATGTGTATGTGTTTGGTTTCAGTTGAACTCAGTAAATCATTTCAAAATGTTCAACCATCCCACTTCCTCCCCCACATGCCTCCTATCTTCCTACTCCCCCTCCCTCCCCCATCCTTTACATTCCTCATTTTCATTTATTATACTATCCGTGTATTTTCAACAGTCGTTTTGCAACTTTTAAAAAAGAGTGAAGATGTACGGTAAAGACATTTATATGTTGAAAGAAAAAAAACAGAGTTAACTATTAATCTTTTGAATTTTAATTGATTAATTTAAAATCTTTCAAAATGAAAAATCAGGAGAAAAAGTGAAGTAATAGTTAATCTCACCGTTTATATTCGGCTAACTCGTTAATTCTTTTTTAAAAATCCTCAAAGATTATTTCTTACTACGAATGAAATCAAAGGTACTAATTTTTTGAGTAATTATTCACTCTCCTGATATTTGCCTGATAACTGCTTATCACGCTTCTAATAATTTGTCTATCACTTCTCTGATAATTGTTATGAATAGCACTTTTTATATTCTTAATTTTCCAAGTATCTGAAAGGTAACAGATATAAAAGTAGGATGAAGTTTTAGATAAAGAATTATATTTATATACATGTAAAATAATTTTACTGCGCATCTTTTAGCACATGAAATTTCCGATCATTGCCTTATATAACTTTGATTAGTTCTTATCCTGGCAGTCTTCACTCATTAAGCCACTTGTCTTTATTCACGTGCGGATCTGATTTTCTCAAATTACTCTTTCATTTTGCAGTTTTCACTTTTGCCCTATTATTATTATTATTTTAAAGTTATATCTCATTTCCAATAGCTTATCTTCTTACTTTCAATTTTAGCCGTAAAAAATTTGTTTCATTTCTCAAAATAGATCAAACTTCTTTTTTATTTTTATTATTCAAAAGGGATCACCGCTATAGTTGTTAATATCGAAGTGCATTGATTATCGCACACATTTAAGAGATTGTATCCCTGTAAAATTTGATCATAGTTGAGCTGGAATTTCCATGTAGATAGAAGAAATACTTCAAAACTAACAATAATAAATTCGAACCATTAATCAATATTTCATAATTGTCAAACTGAATTTGTAAGAAGGAAAATACTTCTAACAAGTTGAGATAATTTACAGATTAATGAAGTCATTAATTAATCTCAGTGAGTTGGGAAAGCTATCTTTCAATGGTAGTTTTCTACTCCTTCCTAATCCATCGTATTGTCTTCATTCATTATTTTGTATTATATTAGCAGATATTTATTTTTTCCTTTTCATTCTCACAGTTTCTCACGAAAACTATCAAATACCAACTTTATTGATATTTCAACAATTACATAAATGTCTTCTTAAATTTGAATGATTCAATTAACTGAAATCATCACTTACAGTTTGATTATATCAAGTGATTTCATCGCTCACATCATTTTAGCTTAATATGTTTAAAAATTTTAAATATGATTTTATCCAATATTATCTAAGAAAATAGGCTATTGAATATTGGATAAAATCGAATATTCTTAAAGCTTAAAAATTTTGAGTTTTATTTCTTATTTTGCATACAGTTGTGAACTACGGCAGTTCAACAAAAATGCAGCTAATATAGGAAAAAATGACCATTTCTTTTTAAAAAACTTACTCGAAGATGGGATACCTGGTTTGGATACTCCACAGGTAATTTTGTTGTTGAGGAAGTTGATTTCGAAGAAGGAACTTTTAACGATTTTAAATTCTGAAATTGCTTAGTTTGAGCCCATTCTAAGCGGAAGAAGATAGTGAGAAAATTTTTTTAACACAACTTTTTTTTCAAATCCATATATCTTGAGCTTAAAACGGAATGTCTTCACCTATACTGTTGCTTTCAGTTATGCTTCAGAAATAGAGAATAGTTAAGAATATATTAAGTAAGGTAGAATATGATTAAATTTTGAGTTGAGAAAGATGAATTAATGGATATAATCGTTTAATAATCATATGAAATATCAGTGATATGATAAGTTCCAATGCAATAATAAGATATTTTCCCCTTCATTCATAATTAATTTATTCTGAAACAGAAAGAATTCTAATTAGTTTTGAATGGTTGATGTAATCAATAAATTATCATTTTCCATTCACAATTCGATTTATTAGTTAAATTGACTGAACAGAATATTCCTTTATGATCGGATTAAATCACTTCGCTTTGATTATATACTTTCAGAAATGTAATTTTTTTATTGGAAAACTCTTCAATGAAATGTCAAGAAAAATTTCTATGCAATAATTCTTTTTATTTGCAAAATTTCGAAACAAATTCTCTTTGCAAACAGTAATTAAGATGAAAATGTGTTGTTGATTGATTGTGTTTATTGGTAGAAGAAATATAAAAGTGTTGCTTTATTTTGCTATTGATTTTGTTTCTTTTACGTTTTGATCCATGAAGTCAATTTCATTAAATTATTTTCATGAAATTACAAAGCATTTCTGCCACAATATCCTAAATCGCTTAGGTAAAAATGCCAGCTTATCTCACATCTCATCAAATGATTATTATTGCGATAGCAGCCTCCAAATATTGGTATTGATGTAATTATTTAAATGCTGCATGAATAGGTAAAGGGATACAAATAGAATTCAGACTAGTGCTTTTAGGTATTCAATTATTTATTTGTTTATGTCTATGATGATTTACTACTAATCAATTAGTCGTATTCGTATACGACATTTAGGTAGCGATTATGTCCATTTTTTGCTTTAACAATCTTGTTCGTTTGACTTTTACACTTCGCTCAAAATTTATTTATGTATTTTTCTGCAGAATCGAGTATGAGGTATGATGCGCTGATAGCGTTGAGATGAACGGTGGCAGATTTGATTTTGATGATGGTGGTACTTATTGCGGAGGTTGGGAAGAAGGTAAAGCTCACGGACATGGCGTTTGCACAGGTCCTCAAGGCAAGGGCGAATATGCCGGAGCTTGGCATTATGGTTTCGAGGTGTTTTTTTTTTCGAAAAATTAGACGAGTAAACACTGAACTGAACTCATTTATTTGATATTACAAAGCATGGAAGAAGACTGTGTTCACCACTGAGACCACATTTGAGTAGCTATTGTCTTTGGCAAATATTCCTTTGTAAGCGAAGGATATAACAACAGTAATTTGATGGTGATCGTAATTCTTAGCAAAATTAAATTTTATGAATAATTTGTTATTAAATTTATTATGGGCGTTCATAGATTATCCTAATCAGCTCAATTCATTTTAGCTTTAATTCCTAAAGAAGCTTTATTAGATATTTTATAATCTATTTGAAAATTAAAAAATAGCGAACGAAGTTAAAGTAAATTAAGAAAGAAATGTTGAAAATTTATGGGAAAAACAGTAGAAGTTCGAAGAAAAGTGTAAGGAACCGATTGAGTAATTCATATTATTTATTTCCATAACAAAATGCATTTTATGCAATGTTTATTGCTACTTTACTTTCTAGAAAATTGATATTTATTATTAAATTATAATATCAACAGTTGCTTTAAGAAAAAAATTTAAAACATCGATAATATTTTAAATTTTTTCTCACGCTATTAAAAAATTTTTTCTTATGATTTATTTATAAATATGAAAAATTGACATTATGATTTATTTTCAAATATCGAAGGTATAATAATTCAGGTATCTGGAATTTATACATGGCCATCTGGGAACACTTACCAAGGTCAATGGCAAAACGGGAAACGACATGGGCTCGGAGTCGAGCAACGTGGTCGTTGGATATATAAGGGTGAGTGGACTCAAGGATACAAAGGTAGATATGGACATCGGTTATCAATGACTTCACAGGCTAGATATCAGGGTACCTGGTCCGCAGGGTTTCACGATGGTTATGGTACGGAAACTTACGTCGACGGAGGTTAGTATCTTTGTCATTTAAACAAGTGATGGTTTGCTTTTAGCAATCATATTTTTGAAAATACTCTAGGATTTGAAGCACTTATCAAACAATACACCCTATTGCATAGTTAATATCATAGTGTTTTCTGACCCCAATATGATTTTCACTATTCAATGAAAAAAAATTCGTAAATTATAATATCACGAAATAAATCAGAACTTTAAGTTGCAAATATTAAGAAGTGAGCTGAAATTTTGCTATCAAACAATAATGAAACAATATAACTGATTCGACCATCTCAAACTACACTTCTTTTTTATATTTTTGTGTTTTATCAGTTACCCTATTCGATCCGATCATTACTGAGATCATCCTTCACTTGTTTTTAAAAAATTTAATAATAATGAACGTATTTGATATTATCGCTTTTAGTGATATGGTTATTTTATTTTCTTATCATCAATTAAGTTTTTAGGAAGAAAATAATCAATGTTTTGTCAATACTTTTCAAGACACGCATTTTGCTAAGGATATCCTTTATTCTAAAATTTAGGTAAGATGGCGCAAAAAGGAACCACTTAGGAAATATTATTCTTACAATATCAAGAACTTTTTTTTGATAGGTAATAGTGCAAACTTGGTTGTTTCAACAAAACCTAGTTAAATAGATTCATTTCTAAAGAAACTAACAGAATGGTACCATTTAGGAAACTCAAAAGCAACAGGTCAAATCGGTCAAATCAGAAATACAAGATGAAAACGGTTTAAAGCCTTCTGTTTAATTCCTTAAATGTTCCGATTTCTAAATCAGAGAACATACGGAAAGAAAACATTTGGTTAGTTTGAATAAAGTAATGGAAGTGAATTTCAGGTGCTTATCAAGGACAATGGTTACGTGGTATGCGACACGGATACGGTATCCGGAAAAGTGCTCAACATAGTATAGCTGCGAAGTTTCGATCTCGGTCACGTACAAATGCATCTCTCACTTCACTGAGGTCTGAATATGGCGAGAGTGAAAAGAACGAGAAGAATTACGGTATTTTTCTACGAATTTTTGTTCTTATTAAACTGTATAATTGGACAAGCAAACTTAAAGTTATTGCTTCAAACACTGCGTAATTAATCAAATTGTTATTTGCAATTGCTATTATTTTTTTTATATCGGTTTAAAAATTTTAATTGCAGTTTGAATTTGTGTGATGATCTTAATTTGACAAAACCGTTAATTTGAGCGCATATTACAATTTTTTTTATTTCGGTTATGCAATAGTAGTATTTGGATAGAGTTCGAAGTTCAGCTTATTCCTTAACTATTTAGAAATACCTCTCACAATAGACTATGGAAAGAATGCAATAATATATGAATACAACATAATAATATATGGCCGATGACTTTTCCTCTCTGTTGTATGTGTGTGGGTATGTGTGGGTGTATGTGAGTGCGTGTGTATGTGTGGGTGTATGTGAGTGCGTGTGTATGTGTGGGTGTATGTGAGTGCGTGTGTATGCGTGTGTAGTGGTTCTCTTTGGTAGAACATATTGGAAAGATAGTGCATGTGCAGTAACAGTGTAGCGAGTCTAGGTCGATCCGTTTAGAGTGAAATAAATGAGTTGTTTTAAAGTGAGGGAATGCGCAATATGGGAGAGTAGATTGAGGGGGAGGAGTGCGATGTCCCCACTGCAGCTGGTGTTACTGCAAAGCTGATGGAGAAATCAGCAGTGCGGAAAGCATATCACTTCGTTAATCATCTCAGAAATTTCCAAGCAAATTGAACAAATTTTTATAGTCTGGAATCTTTCTAGAAAATACTAAATATTTTAGAATCATTGACTTCGTTATGATATCACAGTTGTCGTATTGAAACAATTTTTCACAAAATAGCAATTAGTTTCAAGCTTAGCTTATCATTGTGCTTTTGATGAACTTTTTTTGGATTTAATGGACAGTTTTAAGAGTAAAGTATTTGATCTGGAATTAGAAAGTTGGTAGTTTTGAAACTTGCAAAATCTTGACTTGAGGGATAGATTAATATAAAATATCTGCTTCTTATTTGTATATTAAATATATTTCTATTCTCTTCAGAAATCTTTTTCTCAAAAAATTTGTAGATGAAGCAGATGAGAGTCGGGGTGGTTTTGTGCTGAAAGCTTGTAGTAAAGCGCCCACCAGGCGTCGGTCTCTTTCGGAGCGTTCACTAGCCGTTAAACGAACGATTCTAAGTGGCTTACGAATCAAAAAACAACATTCAACCGGTGACATACATCAGCGTGTTACTACCGGTGAGTTCTTATTTTATATTTGTGCTTAGTTCCTATAATAACGAGGAGATAATTGTTTGAAGCTAGTTACTTTTGAGGAATCATTTATTGGCATTGGACATCTGTAGACTTAAGTGAGGTTTTTACTTTGGGATTCAGAATTTCTGTACTGCGACTGCATGATATGTAACTTATATATTAAATAGAGTTGGACGATTTGAGTATTGAGATAGGGATGGCGTTACATTTCATTTTTATATTATTATTAATCATAATAATACTTGTCTCTGTTCAATTCCATATAGTTTGCACCATATGTCCACACTTGCTATAGAAATAGATCTGTAATCGTGGGTTTTCCTTTTTAGTCAAAAAAGATTAAAGTGATTTGTTGTAGGAAGTTTAAGGTCAAGCGGTAGCACAGTCAGCTGTACATCGGTTGAATCAGAACACCGGCAAGGACGGGAGAATCTGATCGTATCTCAAGTAATTCCTCACCTATTTCATAGTCTTTAAAATTTGCTAAAATTAAATGATAGATTTCCAAAAAATGGAATAGCCGAGGACATAATTTCGACATAGTTCATATTTTCAATTGGATGGCAATAAGATAGAAATACCGCTTTATTTATTAACTGAATTTTTGCATGGCCTAGCGCTACATGCGTTTTTGTATATTCATTCATCTTTCCTCTCTGTTTCTTCTATTGTAGCACAATTCCAGTGTCATTTTGTTGCTCACACAATTAAGCTTGAATTTTATGACTTAAATTTAAAAAATCGTTTTAAAATTTTTTCCAAAAAGATCTCGTGTTATTAGATGTTATTTATTATATTCACTGATTCGGTAATCATTTTATTTAACAAGATAATTTTAGGAAGATAAAATTGATCCGAATACGACTGAAGTTTACAAGGGTGAGTGGAAAAATGATAAACGATGTGGATTTGGAATTGGTGAACGAAGTGATGGCCTGAAATATGAGGGGGAATGGTTTAACAATCGAAAATGTGGTTATGGGATTACAACTTTTAGAGATGGACGGTAAGTCAACTATTCCAGAGGATGAAAAAGATGTTTGCATTCTAGATGAGTTAATTAAATATGCAAATAATTACCACATTGATCGAAAACTCTTACCCATATAGTGATTTATTGTGGATCCCCAAATGTCATATATAAAACAATGATACTTGTAATTTATTTATTTTTGATTTTTAATCAGGAGCTTATATCCTCCTGAAAATGAATGAAAGAATAGCAAAAATAAATTAGTGCCAAACAGGTGAAAGACGTATTTTACATATCTTTTTTTGTATTAGCACTAATGCACATTAATATATTTGTACTAATGTATTAAAGTACGTTTTTGACTGGAATTTTGAACAGTCCGATTTATTAATAGCATGCTCTGCTTATGTTTTGGTATACTTCGGCTAGATGAGGAAGAAGCCTAAATAAACCTTCTACAGTCTTGAAAATGTTAGGATCTCACTGTGCTGTTCAAAATTTATAACATACTTCGTATTTCACTACATGCCATGCTTTTTTAACGTAGTCATGGGATCACTATTGCTAGTAAAAAAATCCAAATTAATAATTGCGAAACAGTCAAGCAAGAGCGAACGCATATGCTTGATTGAGAGCAAATAACAGATGAATGTGGAGAAATACAGAACTTTGTAAAATGGTTGCCTATCTTTGTTATCTGTTAAGTGAATCATTGTGTGTTAATTAAGTGTAAAGCTTTGTTTTAATGGGATCAGTGGAAAAATGAAGGGAAATTATTGCTGATCAATTGATGTTCACTGCTGTGCATTTGATGGAAGACTATTCATTTGTCCACTGTTTATCATTTTAACTGCTTTGGTTTTATCTTTTTTGTTATATTGCTTCAAGACATTTTGAGTTTTGGCTCAGCCAACTTTAAATGGTCAAAATATCAGTGAAAGTGGCAGAAAAGTGAATTATCATTTAAATATCCTTTTATTGAGCAAACAAAATATTTCATTGTTGACATAAGCAATGAGCAAAAAGTAAATTATATATTTTGTTGCAGGAGGGAAGAAGGAAAATACAAAAATAATGTATTAGTATGCTCAAACCGTAAGAAGGGATTGCTATTTGTACGCTCATCAAGATTGAAAGAACGTGTTGGAAATGCTGTTGAAGCTGCCAATCGTGCTGCCACTATTGCTCAACAGAAAGTTTGCTTGTTTCGATTATTTCACCGAAAGACATGCAAAGAGTGATATGATAATAATTGTTCGCATGACCGGTTTTCTGGTCTGTGTGGTAAAATACGGATGCTTACTTGTTGTAATTCATATTCGATTTCCATTAGAAAATATGGAAATCTGAATAGAAATCTCAACTCAACTTTATTTATCATCCTTAAGTCCTTTGTCAAAATCTCTTGAATTTCCTATTATTGGTAGAAGAATAAGTCAGCTCTTTGTTGTAGTATTTTTTACATTTAAAAGCTAAACAAATGAAGAGACGTAGGAAACATTTGAGGAAGGATTTAAATGTTGATTTTGCTGCAAAACTGACATTCAGCATAATGCTATTTTATTGCTATCATTAGCCTTTTTATCCTTATCAATATGTTGAAAAATACATGACAAATCAATGATTTGTGAAGAAATTCTAGGCAGACATAGCTGTATCACGAACAGCAACAGCTAAGGAACGTTCGGAGCAAGCCGACTACATAGCATTACAAGCTCGTGAAGATGCTGATACAGCTAGGTTGTGTGCGAAGCAGTTCGTTCCAGAGTTCAGGCAACTCAGTACAGAGGCGATTCGAATGCAAATGAACTGCTTGCAACAGCAGCATAGTGCTGCTACTACTACTAACGCGAATCATGTCTCTTTCGATTCACCGCCCACTTCTAAAAGTTCTCATGAATCACGCGACCTCTCCGACGAACTTGTCATCTTGAATTCTCCTTCTTTACCAGGTGCCACAGCGGATGTTACTTACTCATCGTCACAACAACCGCAAACTTTAGGTGGTACAATATACCAACCTCAGCAGCTAATGGTCAATATGAGTTCCTATCAGCAAGGAATTATGGCTAATTCAGATATCGATTACACATCGTCATCATTGCAGCAGCATCATCAGTCATCCAATCCAGGTGGCTATCAAAGTAGTTCTGGATTTCAGGCTAGCAATGTATCTTCAGTCTACCAGCAACAACAGCAAAATGTTAATTCGGTTGGTTATGCGGGTCCACAGCAAACTTCCGTATTTGGTCCAACTTCTTATCAAGTGTTGCCAAGTGTTTCTTCATCACATAAGATTGTTAGCGGTTATCAGCCCTCTACTCAACTTCCTGTTATTTCGGGTACACCTTCACCGGTCGTTCAGATTCCCTACATTTCATCCTCTTCATCGTATCATCCAAATACAGTGCCTCATTATAATGTCAAAGTATCGCATCAATATCAACAGAAACAGCAACATCATCATCAGAATGTTCATGCTTCATATCCAGGTACAAAATTTGCAATATCAGACCAGCAGTCGTTTATTTTTCATTCCGATATCACATCTTTAGAGCAACCGAATAACACCACTTCTAATATTGCTGGTGGATTACAACAGCGTCAGTTCAGTAATGGCACTACAGATCCACGTTCCAATCAAAATAGCAGTCCAGCTTCTTCCAGAAGTTTATTGCAGGTATTTTACAATCTCAAATCATTTTTGAAATCACACGTGAACTTCTACAGCAGTTCTATCTAAGTTTTCTATTTGACAAGCACTGGACCAATCAAAGATCATAGATAAGGCCTCATTGTTCTTCCTGGAAACCATCATTTACGAACGAGGATATCAAGTTGATGCAAATTGCCCTATTTTTTACTTTTTAGAAATTTTATTTTTTTTAGAAAAATTACATGATTTACTTTTTTTTTTACTTTTTTTTAGAAAAATTACATGATTTATATCGGCATTAGTATTATTTGTGGGGGAAGGATTTCATAATTAGCATGATTGTTCGATGTGAGCAACATTTCATTTGCAGTGATTAGCGGTTTTTTTATATAGTATAGATTATCATATAGATAAAGTAAGGAAAATCATGTAATGTTATGATCACAATAAGTTAGATATATATCAATTTGATCATTCTGTAGAATACGAATACAACTCAAAGCAGTTCACGAATGTCTCTCAATGATGATCACTACGATCAGTACATGATGTTTGCAAATACTAGCAGAAATGGATTAGTGCAGAGGAATAGGCCTTCACTCACGAGACAACCTTTCGCTGTGCATGATATTTCACAGGCAAGAAATTTTCTTCTAACATTTTACTTAAAAGACTTCAAACATTACCTTTAAAATTTGTTTTGATGGCAGAAGGGATTCCGTAATTTTCTAGTGATAATATTACTCAGCATATATTTCTTAATAGTTCAAACTTTCAGTGGGAATTTCACCAGAATAGACTAAGTAAAAGCTCTTCCAATAAACGTTGTAATGGTAGTTCCTAAGTTTACACAATAATGCAAATAAGTTTTAAATTACTCCTGATAATTTGACGACATCTCACATTTTAGTCTCTGATGTTACCCTAAACCCCAATGTGATATGGTAAATCAGGTACAAGGAGTATATTAATTCCTGTAGATTTCAATATTTCTCACAATGATATTTCCACATCATTTTTTTCCCTTAATTGAATATTTCCAATTTATTTCTATCTCTTAATCTCGACGTAAGCGAAATTTGCAAGTAGAATGTTGCAGAATTTATATAGGCGGTCGACGTTGGCAACAGCTAGTGATAAACGATTAGAAAATGTTGTGAGACGAGGACGAGGAGGAAGTAGCAGCGGTGGTGATGGATTCGAAGAATTGGAAGGACGAGGTTCGTTGCCAAATCTGGTCGAACTTGAAATATCTGGGGTGCATTTAAGGAGAGAGGAAGCAGCACGACTTGCTTCGCAACAGCGTCAAGAGTTGCAGCGCCTTCTTGAAGAAGAACAGTTATTGCGTAGTAATCCTCTTCGATATTTGTTTCATCCCGCTTTTAGGGTTAGTCTTTTTCTTTTTCTATAGTAATAGTATAGTGTGTAAAGAGACTATTATCTTTCACAGGTTTTAAAATTAAATTTATCGCTTTCTAATTTCTTATTAGCGACAAATTTTCATAATTACTGAAACGTAATTACTCTATCGACAAAATTTTAGGATTTTTTCAAACTTTTACGCTTCACATTCCCGTTGTAGATTACTCCTTTAGCTATATGAATGCTGCGAGAATGCGGAACAATATAAAATTACATTGGTTCTTTAATTACAAATGTTCAGTGAGCTGAAGCTACGTATATAAATTGTCAGCATAATATACATCTATAGTTATGCCATTATTATTTATTTCCTGCCATTATTATTTATTTCCTACTATCTAACTTCAGATTTCTCAGTGCTGTATAATCGTGATAATTTGGAAAAATTTATTCATTCGGTCATTGATGCTGTACAAGAAACCTCATTTCGCATGTATCTATCATTCTAGGCATGGATAATACGGTGGAAAATGCCACTGGTGCTTTCAATGGCGAATATTTTCCTGTTAATGGTTTTCTATAATCTTCTCACTTACGAAAAACGGACGCGTGAACGTCGATGACACATACTGTGCATGCATGTCTTCTCGGAGTGATGATGCAATAAATTGTTTTAAATATCAGTAATACGGTGCTAACAAACCGGTGATATATGATTATTGAAGTGATGATTTACTGACAATCTAATCGTTCCAGTGTACATGTATTTACGATTTGGAAGAATGTACGCTCATTCAAATGCTCCATTTCAGGAGGCCGGTGATATCAGGTACACCTGGCATCTTTCTTTGTAAAATATTATAACTTTGTGAAAAAGCTTGGGAAATGAAAGCGAAGATCACTGCCTAGTTATCGTTATTTAATGAACCAAATATGATGTGTCTTAAAGAAACAAAGAAAAAATTACAGAAGCTAAAAAAAATGAGAATGGCTACTTTCAGTACATTATGGAATGTGTGTGATACTCTAGCGCAGCTGCGCAACCTGCGCTAGAGCTGTTGTAGCTACCGCTGGTAGACCGTCGATCGAAAATCATTTACAAAAGTGTAAATGAGACTGATTTCTTGATAAAAAACTTAGACAAACAAAATATCGGTTTTTATTCTGAACGAAATGCGAAAGTAATACCCGACCAACAGATACAGTGGTATGGGTTTGATGCAATCGAGGAATCCTATTTGAATTGATCATAGTTTGCTGAAATGCACAATGTACGTGATAAACATAAAACAAGTGCTTTAATAATAATAATAACGGAAGCGATAAAATAAATGACATAAGCATGAAAGAAAAGTAGAAAGTATGAGGGTTTAGTCGACAGATGGACGAGAATAAAAAATGATGAAATCAATGAGAAGAGTTATATTACGGCTTGGTAACACTAGCTGCGATACTAGTACTGTTCTTTGATAGTGTAGCTATGATGCTAGGCTAATGTCTCTGATTCTCAGATTGTAATTGCGCTTTTATGAGTATGGTTTGCTCAAATATATATTTTAAATATAGTTTTCATAAACCTGTTCGGAAGATTTGTTTGATTTTCAAGTTCCAGTTGACGAAAGAACACAACACAAAAGATGTTTTTTTTTGTCTTGTCCATGATTTTGCTTTTTCGCAAAGCTTCTTTTCCCAAGTATCGTTCTCTAATTACCACTGTTTTGTTATGACACGTGCATAACACTGCCAGGTCTTTCTAACTTATAAAAGAAAAATTCTGTACGACCATTCACACGAATGTTTCAAAAGTTTGATATGCTATTCGATTAATTTATACTTATCTAATATTAAAGCCATCATGGTGTCGTCTTCATTCTTTTGTGGTCATATATGAGATAATTTAATGCCTTATCTTCATTAGTTCTGGAAATCTTACGGTTTTTCGAAATTTATTTCCGCATTTCCGCATAATTTTTTTTCTCTTTCATCAACAGTTTTCAATTTCATTACATGTTTGCTATGTGAGGCCTTAATTGACAATGTTATTTTTCAATGAATCAAAAAAGGTATAAAAGGATTGCAGAATGCTCTAAACACTCCACATTTTACAAATTCAAATATGTGTTAGCTGACCTTTAAATGATACAACTGATATCTTAGACGAATTTTTCAGCATCCTTTAAACCATGTCTAAAATTTTGTCGGCAAGATGATGATGTTCAGAAATTACTGCCGAGGTGGGAAAGTACTAGAGCACCTATGGGGAAGACTGGCAAAGGCTCCTTCACTGCAATCATTTGTTAGATATATTTTTTACTTATATGTGTAGTTCTATAAGAGATCGTGGTAAGACAGTCTTCGAAAGAAACTAAAGTGAAAATGTGAATATATCCCACCATATATATATATATATATATATATGTATATATAGAGAGAGAGAGAGAGAGAGAGAGAGTTTCCAGAAAGTCCTTTAGAGATCGTCATGGTATATGGATGAAAAAGGACACATATGAGAGATGTTGCACTGGTACACTCAATCACATATGCGCATGTTTTTTAAATGTATATGTGTCTCAGTTAAATAACATTTGACATCAAAGAGTCACAGTATATTCGCGTGGCTCTTGGCCCAATCTTCGGCTAATTCCCCGTAAATCACTATTAAGAGATGACACTGGGATTATTCCACACTTCACAGAAATCAACTCAATCAACAATGCAAAAGAAACAGTACCACGTCTTGATGATATCTACAAACGATCGACTTGAAGTACTCCACTCCAGAATATTCGAAATACATCATTGCGGTCTATTTAAGAGAAAAATGATATCCCATTATCACGGCTGGGGGACCATGATTTTCATGGTGAGCTATTGACGTGGCAACGTAAGGTCTAGCTCAGATAAAGCGGCAGTGCGACTTGTTAGTTCATTTTCCCGGCGTGTGCAGGTTAACAACCTCTATGGAATGAGCAGACGGTATTGCGGGGGGATTTTGCAAGAATTAGGAAGACTGGTAATATTTGTGTTATCTCCCGTCAATAGCTCAGCGATAATTAATATCACTACTGCAATGCAATCAGCTTCCACCAATACTCTTAGTTTCTTCTCCCGATGAGACAGATGCTCTCAGAAAATCAACAACTGCTATTGTTATTTGTGCTGCGCTTCTATATGTTATTTCCGTGTTATTTTTTGTCTCAGTTTGTTCATTGACATAACACTTGATGGCTTCGGGTTTCATTTTGCCTCAAAATCATTTGTTTTCAACTGATTGATCACTGACCATTGTTGTAAAATACGATTATTATTGGAATATATGGAGGAATATCACTTTCAAAATAAGAATGAAAATGACTCAATGCAAATCTGCTTAAAAGCTGCAAGATGAGAAATATTTTTAGAATAAGGAATGATTTATTCATGCATTTATGATACAGTTTTAATCGAAATAGCTTTCTATAGCTATAATAGATTGTTTCTACAGATATGTTTATGGTTCAAACTAGTGCGAATAAATAATAATTCGAATTTTACAATTGTAATTTGGAAAATACTTTGCGAATCTGCTGTTTAATTTTAGGCGATTCAAATAGATTGACTACAAATTTCTGCAAACAAAAATGCACATACAATCTCAAATCGTTTAGTACTTTATATTGAATTGCAGTTCGTTCCAAAATTCAGAATCTTCTTAATTGTTTTGAGACTTCGTTTCACTTTACATTGGTTTGATTTGAACACATTCTCTCTCTCTCTCTCTCTCTCTCTCTCTCTCTCTGTTCACAAACAATAAAAAATGCAGAATATCGTCTTTAGTGAATATATTTTACTAAAATGATTTTCAAAAAGACAAGTTAAATACATGTTTTATTCTATCACAATAAACAAGAGGATTATCTTGGGAAATGTACGTTCTCTTAGAAAAATATAGGACCGTCCCTTATAGTTAATTTTTGCGTTATAAACTGACAAGTTTTGGGTTTATAGAATCTACATTGTTCCAATTAATAGTTGATTGATTTCTATTGTATATAAAAACAAGATTGCGCTGCTGATGTAAGACGTCTGATCATTACTTTAGGTGTATTATGCTAACATATAATCTATCTTTACAGGATAGCAAAAAATACGAGAAAGTGTTGACTATTTCTGATATAAATGTTTATATCATAGAAGAATGAGCAGTAGTCCTGTTCAGTATGTTGCTGCTGCATTAACTGATTTGATTTACCATGATAATGTTTCCACTTCAGATAGCAATGAAGAACGATTCGTCGTAGTACCAGTCGTGGAGTAAGTTTTTCACATATTGGATTTAGCTTTTAAGATTAAATTTGTAAAATCAGAAATTAATGGTGATTTTTTAACTGAACGCTGTGACAGGGAAGTAAAGTTACTGTCAGTTGGTTTCAGCAGGAAATAACGATTGTTGCTTCATTGCAGGTTGCCACTCAGTTATAGTGCCTTGAATTCGCCGGAAATACTTTATCTGGATGGAACGAATCAGATATTGCTTCGGTGTATTAATGGCTTAACAATGATCTTTGATGCAGCCTTTGAAAATACATCACCCCTGGCTACGTATCGTTTAAATCCGAATGCTCGGGTATGTGATCAATCAGTATTTGGATGCGTGCGTGGTGATTTTGGGACTTAGTTGATTAAGCCCAGCATTTCTAAGTTTTGATTGAATCTATTCAGTCCCAAACTTCTCCAGAAACATAAAATGTTTCTAAACATAAAATGTTTCTGGAGCAATTTGACTGACTTTACTGCATTCGAAGATTATTGAAAAGTTATAATATAAATATACCAGTTTTAAAATCCTAAAAACATATAGTGCAGTTAGTTATTGGAAATGCTGTACAGCTGTTATAAACTTTATTAAATTTATGTTTTGCAGATAATTTACAATAAGCATAACAGTACGCTGGCAGTTGCAGATTCCAAAATGCTTTGCCTGCGTCAGGATTATGGCGGTACATTTCTTCTTAAGACTGCACTGAAGAGGCCATCAAATAAAATTGTTTCTGTTGAATTACCATTAGATGAGGTAGATATTTGTTTCTCACTTTGCGAATTATCAACTCTTGTCAATAAAATATATCACAAAATCGTTCTGAAACGAAGTACCGATTTCTTTCATCAATAATCTTCAAAATAAACTGTCCCTTTTTTGCAGGCTACGAAATTTCTACAGATAGTCACAAATGACCCCGATTCAGAAGATATTCTGAAACAACGACCTGCTCTGCATAAATTTACATCACAATTACGCATCGCAGTTGCGAACTTGTCCGTTAACACTGTATGTTCATTTTTGACTGATTTTTAGATGTTATTAAATTTTTGTTGTCATAGAACGGTTTCCCTTAGTTTCTTTCTGGAACACATTTTTTGCATAATCTTTTCGAAGAAAATTCTTTTCTGAAGTAAAAATTTCATAGAAACTTAATATGTTACTCCCAAATTTCTGATATAATCTTTTTGTATTTCATTTGAATGTTACCACGATTCTTTTTTATGCTATACTCTGTCAAATTGAGATTTATTACTTTCATGCTTGTATGTAATTCTCCTAAAATGATACTAATTCTTTCGACTGTTTTCGAAATTTCAAAACTTCACTTATATTCTGTTAATGATACAATAACATTTGACGAATTGTAGTAAAGAAAAATGATATTAGCGATTTTCATATTAGCTTTAACTGGGGCATGTGGGACTGGCGATGGAGAAGGGAAGTTTAGTTTTATTTCTGCTATCTACTTAGATTAACTCACTAAAACTTAATGAATCATGTTTATTTCTTGAATTAAAATTGAATTATTATTAAATGCTTGAATGTAGATGGAATCAGTTGTAATAGAAACGAACGGCAAAGAATTGCTTGAGCAACTACGACCTCTCGAAACTCCTGGGGAAAAGAATAGTACAGAAGTACCATCAGAATGGATGACTTTTATCTGGCCTTATATTTCAACGCTTGGAGAACGCGTGCGAGTAAGTTTTCATTTTATCTATATTTATATCGCTTTATATCTTAATTTTCCGAAAACATAAGGAGGAATTTTGATTGGATTTCAGTTTTTGGAATTTGATAAATTTTAATCATTTTACAGCTGATGTTGAATCCAGATAATCCGTATAATTTCGAATATTCACCAGAGTGGAAAGGCCTGAACAAGGATATGATGGCAAGTGAAGCAGCTCGTCGACTTACATTTCAAAACTGGCCTCATATGGAATACAGGTCTGACAAATTGTGTACGATGGAAGAATGACAAAAAGAAAATGTTCACACTGTTTCCATCAACTTTATTTTTAGGTGGGCTCTACCGTGTCGGATGGCCGAAGCAGGATTTTATCACCAACCAAATAATGCTGGCGATGATCGAGTTCTCTGCTTCTCTTGTTTTGTTTGTTTGGTGTGTTGGGAACCTTCAGATGAACCTTGGTAATACTAAAACAGATAGTTCGAGCTTAGTGTTTATCAAAATTAATTAAAATAAAATGAACAGATTAAAGAAATAGATAAAAAGCGCATTTCTACCTATTAAATCATTCATGCAATAATGGTCAGAATTAAAAAATGGTGCAGTGTATTTGATAATAGAAGCAATAGTTGCTGAAATGGTGCAAATTAACATTGTACTTTACTCATTTCAGTCATAGTAACATTTTTACAAATAATAATTTAAGTGAAGCAAAATAATGGAAATAAGGCGTGCGATTGATTGAATTTGAGAAGTCTTTGAAACAGATGTACTTAAATTACCAAAATATTTGAATAATATATTTGTTTGTTCAAAGTAATCACAAATATGAAGCCATTTGCGTGGATTACAGAGCAGAGATTATGTACTGAGAATGAAAGGCATTGCTAATCAGAAAAGTTAAAAAAAATCGAGGTTCAAATCAGTTTTTGAGGTCATGTGGAAAAGATTAATCTTCTTATTAGAATAAATAAAATAAATGGGAACCAGGGTTTTTCGAAAAATTTTATAAAAGCAGTCGAGGTTTTTAGGTCTGAACACGAACGCCATTCGCCAAAGTGTCGTTTTGTGCATAATTATACAAACCCAAATGTGCCTCTGGTTTTAACAATGTCCGCTTTATCACCATTCTTTCATCATTTGCAAGTGAATCATACATCGTCACTTGTGTTCTCGGTCGGAAGTAGTGATTGGATCGCTGTAGCAAGCAAAGAATCTGCCGAAGTACATCTATGGCGGATGGATAGTGTCGTGCAGGTTAATGTCTTGTTTTGTTTCAATGGGTTTCCCAACTATTTTTCAAGATTTATGTATTTGTTCAGGAAATGAAACAAAATTAAAATTTAGCGGGTTTTATGCAAGAAGTGTTTGATATTCATTCAAACATCCACAAATCTTATTTTGAAGGATCGATTTTTTGTAGATGAAGCAGTGGTTCAGTTTGAATTCAGAGAAATTCTTTTCTGCTATTCTGGATTGTGTGGTGATGGAATGCGATCCGCCTGCTCGCAGAACTCAGAGAGTTACCTGGAGCGATGATCTCACGTAAGTGTTTGTTGCTAGGATTTACGAAGTTATTGTGCAGTGTGAGATTCCCCATTTCTTTGAACTGTTTTAGAAACTGTTTGATAAGAACTAATGGAGATGAAGAAGCGCAACAGGATAACACTATAAAAGGTTGGTAATTCTTTAAATATTTTAAGACGGATCTACAAGTCGTGTCGCGCTCTCATATATAATCTTAAGCTGTTTCAGGATCTTCATCAGATGAATGTTTACTGAAACCAGCGCTGTCTGCTTTGCTGGCTGATGCTAGTTGTGAAGTAATTTCTTACTTTATTTAGTGTACCTACATTGCTCAGTTACAATTATTTAAAAAAAGAACTAGAGATATGTGGAACACATTGTAGTGAGCTTCCCAATTATTGAACATTTAACGATGATAAACGGATTTCCTAATTTATATGGTTAAAATAACGTACAAAAATCAATTTTTTTGATAAAGGCTTTGCAAATTATTTTATAATTTTCAAAAAATTTTACCGTATGACTTGCTATATTACTTGCTATATTTGTTACAGACTGTCATAACAGCTCTCTGTACCGTTGGAAGACCATGCCTTGGTGACCCTTCTATTGGGACCGTAACAAGCAAGTCATATGAACAAAACCAAACTTTAGTAGTTGTCGCTGTCTCCGTAGATGACGCAAAACTGAAAAGAGGTATATTAAGATTTAAATAGTTGCTAGCATTGTGGGATATTTTTCAAATGATTTATATACTACAGCTGTTAGATCTTGGTAATTAATCTGAAATTAGAATAGTGCAGTAATCAATTATGAAATAAAAATATTTTCAGGAGTTGTGCTTAACAAGTGTTTTTAAAACAGATTTATGAAATATCAAATAGTTATATTAATTGTAGTACGCCAGCAGAGCCAAAGCAGTTTGGAGACCGAAATAAGTACATTAAACACAATGAATAGAGCTCATGAGTTTATCGATATGCCACCACGAATTGTTAGCGGATCATGTTCTGTCGATGATTGCATTAATTCTGGTGTATCGCTCCGACCATTCCTTGCTCTTTATCAGCTTGACTGTTCAGATCCTTTTAGTTCGCGTAAACGCTCATCATCCATCCGCCAAGGTTTCTTTATGGAATAATTAGATAAATGTTGCATTTTTCATACATGCAAGTATGTAGGGGCGCGAGAAAAGAAAATAAAAACAAAGTTCGGTTTTCTTGCTCTTGGTAATAATTTATTTTAGAGGATTCAAAACCGACCGAAAATAAAGTGATGCATTCTCCTAATCCAGATGAAGCAGATTTTGCGGAAGGAGTGCTACTAATGGACACTACTGACGATGCAGTTTTGGAGTGGTCCGACTCTGCGTATAGTGAGCAGTCTGGTTTTGTTGATTTACCCTCTGGTTTGTTATGCTTTACCAATCCACTGTTTTTTTTCAACATATGAATAGTAGAATTTTATATTCATTCAATATTGTTACAAACTGTATATTACTGCATTTTAAGATGTCGTTTTTTTTCATAATCGTATATAATCATATATGTAAATATTTATTATGTAATTCTACTAGTATTTGTCGAGAGAATTGCCGCACTGGAATATTTACAAAAAATGATAATTCGTAGGAGAAGAAAATGAAGCGTTAGATGGACCATCGAAAACAGGTGCAAAATATGATGAAAAAGAGGGTTACGTATCTGTTAATTATAAGGCACCATCGATGGATATTTCTTTCGTGCAGTGTTTTAGGCTGCCAGCTGCAATCGATAATACCTCAATGGAGGTAACTTTTCCACTCTTTATTTATTAAACTCATTAATCTCATCGCGATACATATGATTCTATTATTAAATCTTTGACATGTTAGCCTCTTAGCTTGTAGGTTTGCATCCTTTTGTAAACATCATGAACTTCATTGCTTCAGAAGTGATGATGGGAACAGTGAAAATTTAATGGATTAAAATCCAGGCTAAAATATTTTAACGAGTATTTGAGTAATAATCAGTTTCAGATATCAGCAATCATTCCAATGCAAAATATTTTCATGGTTATTGTAGTTAACAACGTGGAACCTACAGTGGATGCAATCCATTCAGCGATACTAGTATATCTTATTCATTTTGGAAAAATTGCTATCAATGTTCAGGTTTTTCTTCATTAACTTTTATTGAATTTTTAAGTTAGTAATAGTTGATGAATGTCAAGGTTTTTATTGAAAAAAACTTTTTAGATCGCTAATTTCCTAGCTTATTTGAAAGTTTCTTAGTCAAATCAAAGTTATGAGTGCTGTACTAACTGAGTCAAATAATCCGTAGTTTGATATCTGAAGAAACATATATCAAGAATCAAATTCTTGAGTAATGCAATCACAAGAGAGTTCAAATGCAGGATCAATTATTGCGTTAGCGAATGTGTATCTTTCAGAGAGAGCCGCTAAAAGCTTACTACTATAAAGATTTTCGAATTATGCAGTTCTCTCTGGCAAATATGGATCCTATTCACACAAATTCAGAATCCTATACCAATAATAATTACTTGGATGGTGGAGTTATTGTAAGTCATTTGTATGAGCCCATCATTTTTTCCTTCAGTGAAAATTTTTTAAAAAAAAAACCTTAGACATACAGCAAAGAAAATTTTGATTTCAACAGTTAACAGTTATAATCTCAAAATCAAAATTTTCTTTGTCTATATGTCTATGGTTTCTTTTGAAGACATCTTATGGCAAAACTCTTTTACATTTTAATAAACAATTTATTATTCCTTTTGCTCATTTATAACAAAGGAAAAAAAGACTACTGACATACCCTTCTCTTCTGTTACAACACCTCATTATTCTTTGTACTTCATTATAAAACGTGAAGAAATAATTTTGATGGCTTTCAGCGTACAATGGAAGATATGGTTTATTTCATCAATCTTAACACGAATAAGCTCTATTCTTTGTGTGATGAGAAAGTGGCCCAATTTGCTGTTATGGATAGTGGAAAAGTCACTCTACTGACGAGGAATTCAGGAAAAGTTTGTATTTTCTAGGATATATTCAGATGCCTAATTGCATAAGCTCTGGAGTCGGCCATCCTTAATAAGCTTTGGTGACTGCAGAGCTCATACTGATCCAGGTTCTTACTTTTTAGCTTTTTCACTTCTGCCAATCAGTGTGATCGAGAAATTATTTCATAACTCATAAATAAAATCTAGTTGAGTAAGATGGACTGTTTGATCAATGTCAGTTTCTTATATGGATCTGTATATTGAAGTTCTGTAAATTTTCATTGTCGCTATTTTCAGTTGATAACTGTTCAAATTGAACAATCAAGTTCACGTAGTGCGGATTACGAAGAAGATGAGGACGCTGCGGTAGCTGCGTTATTCAGCAAGATGAATAATTCACAGCAGTCGGATATATCAAAAAGTACATAATGTGCATCCATTATTCCATTAATTTTATAATTTATACTGTTTAAGCAACCTTGATTTGATCAGTACTTGTACTGGTAGCATTTCTTTAATCACTCTAGAGAAGCACGATTATTTCATTATTAAATTTTACGCATATATGAAAATATTCGGAAATAGATGCAGACATTAACCGAGAGATAGCGCGAAATCTTCTGTCTAGCAGTAATGATATGGCAAGCGTAATGGCATCAGAATATCTGTCGACTGCAGGTTTGCGGCGAATATGGAAATTAACGAGAAGTGATATTGGCGGACCAGTAAGGGGTGCCACTTATCGACTTCCTTATCATTCGTAAGTTCTGAAAACTTGTTTTCTTACTGGGTAGGAAGTTGTGATTTGTGACGATGAGGAGTTCAGATGTAATTCATTGTGGAGAAATGTTTCTTTTGTAACTTAGTCGTTGCACATGCCAATTTCTGACTTGTATTCGTTCGTATTTTCTCTGAGCTGGTTTTTTCACAATACTTGAAGCCTTAAATGAAGAAAATAAAGGAAAATGAAGCCTTATTTGTTTTTACGTAACTATTATTTATTATCTAAATACTTATTAAGTTTTGTGGACATTTTTTTGACAACTAAATTTTGTATTTCTATTAGCTTTAAACAATCTGCATTTGTTTTCCTAAATTCATATAAATTTTTTCAATTTTAGCAAATGGGTGGAATCTGTTTGTAACTAAAATTGTGGATAACAATCTATATGTTTTGTAGTGGTGGACAACCGGGATACCATCTCGTGGCTCCACCTGGCTGGAGCGAAGTACCAGCAAATCAGCGTATCAGAAAATATTTCATCGAAAATACTCCAGTGGAAGGAGTAAGCCGAACTTGGTTTTATCAATCAGATTGTCGACGTTCGAGTGACTCGCATATTTTCGGATTACTTCATTTTCAGGTTCGTTATCCTTTTCGACACTTTAAATTTTTTCTGGTTTTTGTAATTTTATATAAAGAGTGAAATATCTAGACAACAGCAGACAATATAAAACGAACAGTTTTATATTGTCTGCTGCTGTCTTCTGCATTTTAGTAAGAGATGTTTCCCTAATGAATTTTTCGTGAAGTTAGATGAGTTTGCTATGAAAACCATATGTATTTCTAACCAGTTTTAGCATGGATTACGCGTTTCTCACGTTGATATCTTTTTGAACTTCCATGAAACATGTCTAGCTTGTCCAGATATCGAATTAAGGTTGTACCGCTGGAAAACTAATGCTGATGATGTTTCTTCATCTTTGAAAGTACATTCACAAGCATCTCTTTCTGGATGTATCAATCTAGAAGAAGTCGAAGCACAAGTAAAACTCTTTCTTTGGCTAATACGTAGGCTTGATGTTATTTAAATTTCTATTATTTCTACCTCAATGTTTAGTACTGACTGCAAGTAAATTATGTTACCGTTATGATCATTTGAAGCTTAGTAAATTTAGTAATTGTTCTTTATGCCAGTGAGTATTCCTTCAGAAATGTATCTAGTTTTATACTTTAGTGCATCCGTTGACAGGTAATTTAATCATTTTCAGTGCGATTTGTTGGCCGGACCTTATCATTGCGCCGAGTATGCTGATCTTAATAGCCATTCGGCAAAAATACAATTACCAGGAATTGTTTTCTTACCTCAACTTGTTAAAAAAGGTATTTCGTTAGGAAATTGTTCAAATAAATTTCATTAAAATCATTATGTATTTTTAAGGAATGTAGAAAATTTACTAGAAAACAACTTCCCATTTTCGCTTCCTATTGTTTAATCTTCCAAGGTCTTTGAGAGATACGCAAGAAATTTTCAGGTGGCAATGTAATCGGTTTCAAATCGGTTTCTTATTACCTTGTCTTGAGGGCTTTATCTGATTATTCTCTTGATCAGGCAATTACAGCTGTGAAAACAAACGAACGAGACAAACTTCAGGCGTATGTTGTGCTACTCGTCTTTTGTGTTCTTTTTATTAAAGTGATAAAATCTCTATAAAACAATTGCATCAAATTACTGTTTTATCATTTTAAAATAAATGGAGTTCTAACTGCAACATAACACTATTCATGTGAATGAAAAAATGGGGGTTTTCCACAACAGTCACTTTAAATAGCACTGCTAGTAATGCTAATTTGCAGGGCAGGTACCCCGGGTAAAACAAAATCATCTTCGAAACGTCGTATCGATAACAGCGAGTCTTCCACAGCCACAACTGCGATTGGTTCCAGGCACGAAAATACTAGTACTGTTTTGATATTTCATCAGTGAAGTAGGTTTAATTTATTGATCAATGAAGTAAGCTTAAGCTTGCTAGTTTTCGATGTTGGTTTCTCAAGTTCCACTGAGCGAGACCATGTTCTGAAAAATGATATACATTATCAGTTAATGCTATCACAGTATGCTTGTTTGGAATTTGAACAAGAAAATTTATTTGACTTGCTACAAGAAAATTTGTTTAACTACAGGATATTTCGTATTTGAGGTTTAATTAGTCGGCGTGGAATACAGTGGGTAGATGAATTGGTAATAACAGTTGTAAAGACGAAAAGAGCAATTGAATCTAATGAAAGGTACTTTTTGAGTTTTGTGATTTAAAGCATATTCTTGTTTTTGCATCTATTTCTTGTGCATAGTTCTAGATTCTAATGCGGAACTTATGTTCACCACTTTTCCATTTTTGGCTCTTTGTTGTCTACTAAAATGCTATACTTTCTTATTGTATGATGTTAAGTTTAGTTTTCGAAATATGTCATCAATAGAAGCTCAGGCTTTTAATAATACTTCCCTCAACTTTTAAATTTATTTTGTTAATCTAATTGCTTTTTATTTTTTAGGATGTTTAATTTTTTTCGATAATACTGATTATAAGAGAATAATTTCTCACTGTAAAGAGAATTCTAAATTTTCCTTGTTTAAAGAATTGAAAGACGTGCACTTATTGAAACTACGGATCTGCACAATAATATAGTGATGTTAGCTGCCGGAATCGCGCCGAAATTATCACCAGCTCAAAAAGCTCGTACAGAGGGCGAAAAGTTACAGCAACAAGGTCTTGCGATTGGCATTATTGAGTGGCTGATCGATAACTGGGTCAATACTTCGTCGGAGTAAGTTTCTACTAATTCATACATAGACTGTCATTTTAAGACCAAAAGATTTTTGTGATATTAAGGGAGCAGTGGATCTTATCTCTTTGTCTTTAATTTGAGCTGTTAAAGTAGTAGAAGTGTCAGATGCAGTGTATGGGAACTAGGTTAGTGAGCAATTATCACCCTAACGTCAATTCTCTAACTGCAAAGTCAGCTTGATATTTTGACCACTTCATTTTGCTAATCATACTTTAATGGTCTTATTTGTATGATTGTCCATGTTATTTTTGTTTTGCTCTCACTATAAACAGTTATTGCTGCTTATTTTTTTCAGCACTCATCTGTTAACTTTTGCTGAAATGATCATTGAAAATATTGATGCCATTTTCGTTAACTGTTTCATAATTTCGTCACGGTCAATTTCTCACAAATGGAGCGCTACGTTGATGTATTTGTTACGGTCAGTTTTATTTACTTTATGCAAAAAGTTTGGCTGAAAGGAGAAACATTGGTTATTTGAAAGCCTGTTGATTAAATATAATTGAAATTGCTCTCTTTTAATATCATTCTTTCAAATATATTTGAATTAAAGCTTCATAATGCTCAAGTAAAGGACGAGCAAGTTTTTTTCAAGTTCGGTGAAAGTAACTGCAAAAGAATATTGCATCTTAGAAAGAAATCTACAAAAAAATTGTTTTGTACTACGAATTATCATTTAAGCGCCCTTCAAAAGTCAGATGACGCTGCTTTTTCGAAATTGTTACAAATTTTTTTATCATGTTCAATTCGGATCGTGACAAACTTACACGCAGTTAGGAATGCTGGATCCCTTCATTGGCTATTTGTATTTATTTTCGCTTTGTTGAAGGTTCGTTTGAGATGTGATTATTTTAATTAAATCTTCGCAGCTTTTTTATGGTATGTAATCATTTCCTGAAATCTTATCATTTAAAGGATCTGTAGTTTTAATCTGCTGCCATACACTCTGAACGTCATTTCTCTAACTCTCGAAAGTTTAGTCATTGAACGTTTTCGGGATATTCTAACAAGCCTTTTTTTATTTTTTGTTTTAATAAATTTAAAGGATGGTTCGCAAGAAGTCTCACAGATTTGTCCACTTTCGGTGATTGCATATATTGAAGAAGTGGAATGACATTTCAGATGGCGGTGATGAAGACAAACGATGTGTCTTGTGGTGAACTTTTAAACACTTTGTTAAATGCATTTACAAATACACTTACGTTTGTTGGTATTGCATGGAAGCAATATTGGAATGGTTCGGTACATGACAAATTGGCTACTGAATATAACCTTAGTGGATTGCCTATGGAGCTGGTACGTTTGAATTGCTATATATTTAAATTGTATGAAGGAATTATGAAAGATTTAAATTGTATGAAGGATGCGACGTCCTATATTCATATTGCCTAAGTTTAAGTTAATTTGCTTCAATTTTTAAAATTATCTTAACTATTTTGGAATTAATAAAAATATGATTGACCTTGAAAATTGTGATTTTTTTCTTTAATTACACTCTATTTGAGGTTATGTATGAATGGCCAAGGTCGGTTCTTTCATTATGGCAACGAACAGCTACTGCCACTACTAAATTGAACGATCGTAAGTTTTGTCATGTACACGTATGACACCACATAACATATCATTTTGACCTTGAATGAGAATGACATTTGAAATTAATCAAATAAGGTTAGCTAAGTTTGAAAATATCTTGAAGAATGAATAATATAAGTTGATGAGTTTGCATTAATAATATGTTTCTGAGATCTGGTGAGAATTTTCGTTATTGTAGCGAATGAGTTAGCACATGCTACTGCATTTCCACCAGCAGCACCAACACTGATCGCTTACAAATGGGCATCTACTGCTGCTGGTTATGGAAAAGGATATAGTGAAATGAAACCATCACAAAATCCAGGAATGAGTCGTTACGAAAAAATTTCCACAGCCGACTCCAAGATTCTCAATAAGGACTGCGTTGATGCAAATACGAATATAGGCGGATTAACTGCAGAGGTTCGTTCACTTTATTTGCTAATCTATAGTACGTTAGGAGCAGCGAGCAGTATCGAGCTTATGTATTTGGAGAATGTAGTTAATCATGTATTTAGTAAATATTGATGATGCAGTAAGCTATTGTTGAAATTCACAAACAGAAGGAAAAAACGCAATGGTCTTTCACGAAATATGTCTTGAAAACCCTGCTACTGGAGAAACAGTAACGTTGATTTGTGAATGTGGATAAGTTGGGAGTACGGCGTTGGCCAGTTAATGAAATAAAAAGAATTTTACGTTTTCGTTATTAATCGTTTTTATGAGGATCACGTAAGACCATGTCTAGTATTTAGTATGATATACCAAACATGTCTTACGTAATCCTTATAAACTAAATGTAGTGCTGTATTTATTAAAAATTTTTGAACTAAAAATTTTTGAATTACTGTAATGTCGAAAATGAAATTTGAGCCATAATTTATTTACATATGTTTAATTTGTGCACTATATCGGCAGATTTTAGGATGAAATAGACTGGCTGACACTTTTTAATATTTCGACAGATTATGCAAAGGAAACTTCTGAAAGTATTACAGAAGGTAAACTATTGAATTTGAAATCTTGCTTCCAGCATTACTGCTTTTACTTACTTGTTTGAAAGTATTTTATCAGAATTTAATAGTCTTGCCTTATGCTATAATGCGTATGCTACATTGTTCATCTTATGTTATATTTACTTGGTCTTATTGCTTACTTGGAAAAATATTGCGCATATCTTCAATTTTAAAGTTGTTCGCATTGCGGATGTTCTTCAACTTTCTTACTAATAATAGTACTGCTTTTACTGTAATCGAATATGTACAATTTGTCCACCTACAATAAATGCAGAACTAATGTTGGATCGATTTTCAGCAAGTTCGGCAAATTTTCAACGAGAATACAAATATCAAACAGTAACGACATCCACGCAGTTGAGCGGTTTGTTGGAAACGGAGCCGCTCACATTCACCGTAATATGTGCTTCGGATCATGTTAAAGTGGAAGACACGGAGACTGGTGGCGTTTTACGATTTTTTTGAGTTAGCGTGGATTATAGAGGCTTAGTCGTTCTGCTGTTATGTTCAAAATTACTTGTATTTTATATCATTTTAAATTATAGGTTTTATAACAGAAGTTGATTGCACATCTGCACCAATTGGTCATACTGAAAAGGAATGTTCTGTGCCACTGAGAATTATGGATATTACTCAAACAATTTTAAATAAAGTTTGTTAATTTTTTCGATTTATTATTTTATGAAAAAATTGTAAGGGCTATAGAATTACAAATAGAATTTGTGCTCATCATGGTAATAAAGAGGTCCAACTGTTGCGGAAATTGTCTGAAGCTGAAGTTTATTTAATGGAAACTTTTAATGATGCGGCTGCAGGTCTATTTTTTTATAACAATGTTTCAGAAGTCGGAACAAAATACTGGGAATGATTCCGGAGCTTCGAAACTAGAACTGCAAGATTTAAGTGCAGATTTGAACGCACGTATGACGTTGATTGCAATGGAACAAGCGCAGACAAAAGATGATAATACAGTTGGAAACGCTGAGCAGAGTTCACAAAGTAAACCGCAATATTTCATACATTCGTTTAGAGTATGAAATCAAATGATTTTTAGCTTAAGAGTATGAAAATTTCAAACATTGAATGCTACTTCATCATAAAGTTCACTGATAAATGATAATCTGGAAAATTTTAAAGCAGTCGCGCAAGGTTTCACAACTCAGGGATCATCAGCAAGCACATTTGGTATTCCAACTACACCCAAGACTACACCATTCATGACCCCAACTCCTCTATCGCCATCACATCTCTCACCCATTAATTCAGAACCGAATCTGGTGTTTATGATGGAGAACGAGTGTGGGGTAAGAAATTTAAAATACTGAAAAACTTATGATCACAGCTACTTGTATGATTCAAAATAATTTCGATAAAAGCGTTTTCATATGCAAAATAAGGATTTTGCTTGTTCATGAAACC